TGTGATCCTGTTCAGGATGTTTGTCTTCAGCTTGAGCGTGCTTTCCCTGAGACGCTGGTAAGCTCCACTGTCAGAGACTGAGCATTGCACATCAAAGCATGTGTTGCTTCTTTGACCACTTTCTCTTTGTTGCTTCTTTGACCACTATGGAAAAGCGCAGCCCTTTTCCATACTCAACTGTGTCTACAGGCAGGTATGAACTAACCAAAAATTATTTTGTTGTGGGGTGAATGCCATGCTGAATCTTCTGATCTGCGGAGCTTGAGTCTCTAGTTTATTGGTTTAGAGTGTGTTATTGGAGTGGTTGGAGAAAAAGATTATGGGTCGGCTTGCTAAAGACTCTATATTACTGTGATCTTTTTAAGGCCTTAATGGGAAAATCTCTCAACCTGTGCTTTGTTACAGTGTGTTCAGTTTGTGGAACAGTATGAACCTGTGGTTGTGCAACTCTTGGCAGAGATGATGGATCCCACTTTTGTTTGCACTGTGAGTATCGTGTTTAGTTCTATTCAGGATGGGCTCTGATACAGTCCTGCCTACTCTTCTCTATGCTTTTCAGCGTGTAGCAAGCAGAAACTCTGTTGGAATAAAAATTAGCGTGCTGAATGCTTTGAGCAAATTCACTTGTGCAAGGCCTTGGGCTTAATGAATGGACAGCTGTTTGACTGCCAGCCTTGTGCAAAGAAGGACAGAAGAAAAGAACTGACAGTGGTTATCCACTGTTCAGGTTCAGTAACAAGCATGGTGTGTCCTGAATGGGATGAGAGGAAGTTAAATGACGTTTGTTGAGAACGATCCCTTTCTAGAAGCTGTTTCACAATACTTAATATGAAAAAGTTGTAGTAACTTAATTTTTCCTGGTGTTACATTGCTGCTTTGAGTCTACTGATTCAGCTGCAAACATGACTGCAATTGTCAGCTGAGGACAGTGCTGTGTTTGCTCCTGAAGCTGCCTCAGCATTGCCTTTGGGCTCCTGCACTTTGTTAGGTAAAAGCTCAGACATAAGACCGGAGTCTAAATGTTTCGGTGCTGATTCATACTGACTACTGCTGTTCTTTTCACAGAAATTAGGAGTCTGTGGAGCAGCTAAAAAGCCTCTCCTAGGGGATGATGCTTGTGTTTGGGGTCCAGGTTACTGGTGTAAGAACATGGAGACTGCTGCTCAGTGCAACGTACGTAAAACCTTGAATTTCCAATTGTCTTTGAAAACCTCCTTAAAAACTAATTTGCCAGCTTCTGTAGCATACTAAGTGGGTAAATTCTTAGGTGCTGAGTTTCATTAGAGGTTCTTCCATAGCCCTTAGTTTTCTCAAAGCACGCTGTTCCTCCCTTATTCCTTCCTATTTATTACTGTGCAAGCATTTTGGAATCAGAGTCATGGATTTTCAACCCGTGGCCTGGGTTGAAAAGGACTACAATGATGATCTAGTTTCAACCCCCCTGTCACGTGCAGGGTCACCAACCACCAGACCAGGCTGTCCAGAGGCACATCCAGCCTGGCCTTGAATGCCTCCAGGGATGGGGCATCCACAACCTCCTTGGGCGACCTGTTCCAATGTGTCACTTCCTCCTAATACCTAACCTAAACCTCTCCTGTCTCAGTTTAAAACCATTCTCCCTTGTCCTATCACTATACACCCTCACAAACAGACATACCTCCTCCTGTTTATAAGCTCTCTTCAAATATTGGAAGGCCACAGTGAAGTGTCTCTGGAGCCTTTTCTACTCCAGGCTAAACAAGCCCAATTCCCTCTATGTTTTTTCATAGGAGAATGAATAGGAATGCATAGTAAGCTGCAGTATGAGCTTTGTATGCAGTATGAGTATTTTCTGTGTTCCAAGAGCCATAAAGCCTTGTCACAACCTGTGTTCAGGCTCTAAAAGTTGGCTTTCAGTATTGTTGTGGATTGATGCTTTCCCTGCCAGGCCTTAAAGACTGAGGATCACTGTTTCTGACTGGGGGGTAAAAATACAGTTTATTGTAGTCCTCTATGGAACCACTTATTTTAAGAAATGTGTTTTGTTCCAAAATCTTAGTTCAGAGTAAGGTGTTAATTGTGTAAGTAAGTACCCGCTTGTCCTCTAACAGGCTTTTTTCCACTCACATATACCATTTTTTTTTTTCCCTGCAGGCTGTTGATCACTGCAGACGTCATGTGTGGAACTAGAAGTATTTTCCAGTACTGAAAGTTTGCCATGGCTCATAAAAACATGGACTGAGGCTGGAGAGCTGTATCTCAAATGTCCCTCCTCTCTGCCTCGTTAACAATTTGACCTTCAAGTTCCTTTATTGTAACTCTTCTGTAGCAGTGCTGCTGTTGAAGGATCAGATCTTCATTGTTGACTTAACAAAGATATTTCTGGCTGTACAGTTTAACTCATTATGCTCCTGAAAATAGTCAGTGTGTTGTAGATTTTAATTGGTAGGCTGAAGTTTTTTTAGGTGCTGGGAAGAATGATGAAAGATGAAATGATCTCTTATCTTTTAATTTAAAAAAGAAAAGATAGTGACTAAACTTTTAAATATCTTTCTGTAGCCAGCTTTGGGAAGATGACATGTTGTGTTTAACATCTGTCTGGAGTACTAGTTTTGTGCTTACTGTTGGGGAACCCTAAGGGATGATGTTGAATCCTGGAATTCCTTCAGCTGGAGTTTTCAAAGCTTTGCAGATACAGGAAAGGGGACTTGATGTGCCCAGCGAACTTTCAAAGCAACCAGTATACAAAAAGGTTACATTTGCACTTGAGTGGTCACACTTAAGACTTGTAGTGTTGTCATAGCCAGGGAAAACCCTCAATGTTAGATCATGTTCTTTTTATTTCCTTGGACCACTCAGCTTCAACATGGGTGTTCTCTTGTCAAGCTCTGAACGGTTCAGTCTTTTCAAGCATGCTGACACACTTAAGGAATGCCTCCCCCCCTTTTTTTTTCCCCCTACTTGCTCACCGATTCTGCTTCATCTTACAGCTTGCTACATGCAGCCAGCCTGGTGCTAAGGAGGTAGAGCAAACTGACTCAATAGGAGATGGAGGTGAAAAAGTCAGCAGGGGCTCCATGTATATGAAAGCCTGTACAGTTTAGCAGGCAGAACGTGTGGGAGATGGTTTTACTGTAAAATGCTGTTTCGTTCCTTGCTTTCGGTTTTCTCTCGTGGCGTATTCCAGTAATCTTAAAGCTTCAGAGGTACTGTTAGGCTTGCAGGTAGTTCCCACTGCTGCCACTCATTCTCAGTGACATTCATCCTTCTGAGTAGTTTGAAGTATAACTTTCTCTTTTCCCAGAGTTCCCATTTCTATTGGGAAATGCAGCTGAGTTGCAAGTGGAGATGGCAGAGTGAGAATGCTGTTGCAGGTATTTTACAGCTTTACTGGCATGCCTGGCAGCCTTTCACAGTGGCGCAGCAGGAAAACACCACACTGAAATTATCTGAACCTTTGAACAGAAGACTTTTAAGGCAGACTGCTACCCTGAAAACAAGTCAGGCCCTCGAGGTAGGGGCTTTCAGGATGAGAATCATGCTTATGTTGTTCAAGACAGACCTTTTACTGGCTTCATGTGCTAAATTCTGAACAAGGTAACTCCTCAGAAGGCACAAGAGTAGCACTGGAGAGTCCTCTGGGAAGGAGAAGCTGGGCTGTGTGGAGCTTTGAAAACTCCAGTCCTGTTCAGAAAGTGCTGGCAACTGCTCCTCTTTGTGCAGCGCCTCGGGTGAGACGGGAGCTCTGCTAATAGGGCTTCAGGAGCAAGCAAACTCATTTTCATGGAGTTGAATTGAAAACCACTCAACTGCATCTTTTTCTTACTACTTGTACACACTGAATGTCTGGGCGGTCTTGACAGATACTGAGACAGATTTATCTTTCCTGTTTGTGTACAGAACTCTGAAGCACTCCCTGCTTTAAAAAAAGTCCTCTAAAGGTGTACAATATCAGCAGCTTTCTATCTTGGCAGGCTTGTGCAGTGCTTCTAGTGGTGTATCCCAGCAGGGGTAAGTGTCCCAGGTGGATGATGGGCTCTCCTCAGGATGGCTGCCCCTGGAGAGGTACAGGTTGTCACACTGCAGCATGCAGTATGGGATTGGATTTTTTAAAATGATTTTTTTTTTTTCTTTTAGGGGGGTGGATTGACATTTGCTCTTATCAACTGGCAAGGTTGTAATTCCTGTGGGTTTTTTAGTAGTGGAGGACTCATGCTGGCAGCCTGTAGGGCAAGGTGAGCTGGGCGAAGTCCTGTGCTCCTGCTGGGAATCTCTTCAGTTTTTTCTCACTTCCTGTGGAATGTGGCACCTGACCTGCTTGAGTTACGTGTGTGGGGGGACATGCAGTTGCTTTCTAAAGAACATTGTCTTGATTTTATTTTTTTTTTTCTTTTTTGCACAAAAGCTTCTTTAATGAACAATAAAAACCTCTGTAAACTGGTAACTCCGTTGTTCCCTTGGTGTGTGCTCATTCCTGAAGAATCTTGTCAGCGTCCCTTTGCCTCAAAGGCAGAAGAGGGCACGTCCCAAAACGTCACCTGAAGCTTTTGCAGCAAGGCAGGGCGATGCCAGGAATCCTGAGGCTGAATGACAGGATTCAGGTTTGCGTTGCAGCATGCATGTCCCATCAAGCCTTTTTATATGGAGGGCAGCTGTGGGCTTGCCAGGGATTGCTGCTGCTTGTCTCTTCCCTGGATGAGCGCAATGCCTGCTGTGAGGTAACACTGAGGTGTCGCAATTCCCATGCAAGGCCAGGAGGGAGTTCTTGCTGGAGCTGTTTGCGAGTCAGCACTGAAGCCTGCTATCATTTAGCATGGCTTTCCTGTGTCTTCATTCCTTGTTTTTATTTGATTGCAATATATTTCTTATAAATGCTTAATGACACCATTGATTCTTTTGAATAAACCTACTGGTCTCTAATACCTGTGCTAGCTTTGGGCAGTGGGTTCTGGGCTGTGAAATGAAGCCTGGTTGGTTCTGACCTCCTGGGAATACCTGCCTGACTCTGGTCCCTCCCTCCGCTTGCATACTGCTGCTCTGATTTTATAATCAGGGCATAAAGAGGGGTGTGGTAATTGCTGTGCGTAGGTGTCGGTTCTCACTACTTCTCCCAGCTGTTCCAAGATTCCTCAGTCTGGGAGAAGCACGGGAATAACCAGCACTGAGGACTGTCTTGGGAACAGCATGGCGAGCAAGTGGAGAGGCTGGGTGCTGATCCTCTCCGTGTGCTTGGGGTCGTACCAAGGTAAGGTCAGGCCTTGCGCACAGGGCTCTTTCCTCAAGAGAGCTCAGAAAATGCCTCTGAACCCCAGAACTATTCCAAGCTATCTTGAGCGTGTTCCTCCTTGGAAAGGATCAGAAAGGTTGAAACTCAATAGCACGCTTCCTTGTCCTCTGGTTTTGGGCACTCTCCAATGGGTTGAGCTCGGACTCCTGTTCATTTGGAATTGAATGTTCTGGTTTTTGCTCTGAACGGTAATTTTACGGGCAGAAAATGATTCCCATAGGAGCCAGCAGAGCTGGTGTTTTTGTAGGGGCTCAAGGGTGTGGAGGAGATGAGATTGAAGAGGATGAGTCAATGTGGAATCTCAGCAGCTTGGCTGCTGCCCTCTGTGTGAATAGCACACGCAGCTGTCTGTTGGGTTGGGGGTAGAGAAGCAGGAAGCCCTTTCTGCTGAGCTTCCTAGCTGGGTCTTGGTGAGCTCTGGGTTACCAGGTGCAATGTTGAAGAGCTGCTGAAGCCCTCATCAGTAGAGCTTTGGGAGCAGATTCCCCCAGGCAGCAGAAGGCAGAGGGGTCTGTACCCAGTGGTACTTGCTGACAGGGGGAGGGAAGAGGGTTGGAAGCACTTAGGAGAAAATTCCTTGGGAAGCCACAGAGCTCTGTAGATGCACGAAGGTGAACTTAAGACCTTTTGTGCACTTATTTTGGCCACCCTCCCATTGGTCTCCACAACCTGTGCTGTGCTGGCACTGTGGTGGAGTTATGCTTACGCATGGGACGTGCTGGGGGGGCATGGGCTGCTGGGAGCTTCCCTACCAGCAACAGGACCAGCAGGAAAATTCACCTGTGTGCTCAGCATGTTGGAGGCAGCCTGCGGTGGGAGGGAGTGCAGCTCTCCCTTCCACATGCTCGCCAACTCCTCATTTCCTCGTTGCTGGTGGGAAAACCCTTCAGGAATGTTAACATCACCTCTTCTTGGCCAGATCCTTGGATGGTTTGGGGGAAAAAGTTGCATTTGGGGAGTGTGTTTCCTGGCTAGTAACTGGGGCGCAGGGCCCACGTGCCACCCCCAGGCTTGCACCACAACCGGTTCTCCGGGCTCAGCAGGCTCAGCTGTGGAACGAACTCTCCTCCGCGCCCTGCAATGTGCTCAAGGCACAGCGGTGATCCCATCCCTACATGTCCTTCAGAGGGCCATTCCCACCTGGGGACCATTTGTGTGGTTGTTCTGCAGCCTGATGCTGGTAGAGGTGCCCATGTCTGTGCGTCAGTCAGTTCACGTCTGTTGGATTAGGTGGGGCTGTGTCCGTGGGTCAAGCTGGGCCATCCCAATGTGCACACTCAGTGTTTTTGGGTTGTGTGGTGCGTGCAACCCCTTCCGTGCTTACTCAGCATCTCACAGGATGAGCTGGTGACCCAACATCCATGAAAACAGTGATTAAAATGGACAGCTGTCCGATCTGGGAGGATGTGGCAGGTGGAAATGGAATCTTGGGCCACTTCATGCTGAGGCTGTGCACCTCCCTTTCCTAACCCTGGCATCGTATTTCTGCGTGCAATCCTGTTTTCCTTAATCAAAGTAGCATCAAGAGGGAGAACTGGCTTAAAAAAATAAAGGGTGGATTTTACTAGGGGAAAGCATCAGTGCTCCTTTTTCAGCCATGTAGATGTGTGTATCATAAATAGGTATTTTTATATATAGTAAGCTCAGAAACAGCCTCAGGTTGCAATGCTTTGTCTCTTTTCTTTTAAATGGGGTTGTCCCTTAGCTCTTGTCTGCCTTGCTGTTCCTGTTCAAAAACTGTTGCTGTACCTACATCAGCTGATGCAGTGAGTGTGTGCCTGTGTGGGACTATTCCATGGGAACAGTCCCTGTCGGACCCACCCAGCCCTGGAGCAGCCCAGCAGCACTGCAGAGAGCTGTGCTAGCACTTTTGCTGCAGATGCAGCTTGTGGAGGGATGCTGCTTGCCCTGTCGTGCCTGCACAAAATGCATCCTGACATATGGAGGTGGCAATTAAACACTGATGGTGGGAGGTGCTTATCAGGTGGCATTGCACCATGCCTGGCCTGAGTGAGAGCGATGCTGTCACCTCTGGATTATTCATTTTGCAAGATTTATGAGTGTTTTTTTTATGGTGACGCCTTACCAGGTGTATTCAGTCTTCCAGGCTGTAGGTGCCTCACATTCTCTGTGATTTTAAGATGCTGTGATGTGCGCCTGTCCTTACTGAGGACAATAAATGATGTTGCAAAAGGAGAAGGAGGCAGAGTTGGGATTGTGTGAGCTTTGGGTGTCAGCAGTACATGGCAGAGATAAAATAATAGTAGATGATGGTATTATGAAAGCTGAGGCGAGTCAGGGCAGGAGGAATGAGCAGCATAGTATCGCTCCTTGCTGCCTTTGTAGCTGGGGATGGGATGGGATTGGGTGAAATGGGAAGCAAGGAGATGGATAGGATGGGAATGAGACAGAATGTGATGGTATGAAAGAGGGTGTGATGGAATGGAAAGAGATAAGTTAGGATGCAATGGGATGAGATGGAAGGGGATGGTATGAAGTGGGATGTAATGAGATGAGACGGGATAAGAAGAGGTGAGATTAAATGTGATAGGATGATTGAGATGTGATGTATAGGATGGAGTGGAATGGGATTGGATGAGGTGGGATGCAGTGAGATGGAATGGGATGAAAGGGGAAAGAGTGGGATGACAAGAGATGAAATGTGATGGGATTTGATGTGATGGAATGGGCTAGAATGAGTTGGGATGAGAAGAGATGCAATGGAATGTGATGGGATGCAAGGAGATGGGGTGGGAGGCTTGCATGAAGCAGGCTGGCAGTCCATGGATTGGGGGTTATGCCACCCTAGGGATCCATGTATGTGCCTGGGTGCTGATGTTTCCCTCTCCTTCCCTAGCTGGGGCCAGCCCCCTCCCTGAGTGTGACGAGCAGCCAGAGGAGTGGTGCCGTGATGTGGGGACAGCAGCCAAGTGCGGGGTGCTGGAGCTGTGCCGGCTCACTGTTTGGGACCAACCAGTAGGGGTAACTGCAACTGGGGGAACGTGTGGTATTGACCTGCCCATAATCCAGGGGTGGGAAGTGGGAAGATACAGAGGGTCTGGTGCTAAGACAGCATCCTGATCTGTTCTCTATCTCAGCAGAAAGGGATCCCATGCCACCTGTGCCAGGTGGTGGTGTCCATGATGGGCAAGATCCTGCAGGACAACTGCACCGAGGTGAGTTCTCACTGGGGGCACGGGCTGCTGTCTCCCCATGCGTCTGCAGTGCCAGCCCAGTGCTGAGTGCTCCCCTTCTCCTCTAGGAAAAGCTGCGGATCTTCTTGGATAAGAGATGTCAGTATCTGCCCTTCCAGGACTGGTCAGTCAAGTGCAAGAAGATGGTGGACACTGGTGTCCTCGTCCTGGCCCAACTGGGCAAGCAAGTGCTGGTAACAGCCTGGGGACCTTTGCAGCAGGGAAACCCCTTGAGATATACAATATGGGGAGCATGATGGGGGAATGCAGCTCTGTAATGATGTGGAAGGCTGTAGACAATACGTCTGCAGGGAGAGGATGGAAATAGGAATGATGCTTTGGTGTGGGGTTAAATGTTGATATGGTGATGGCCCCAGCCTGCTACCTCACTCCCACAGTCAGACCCAAAGGTGGTGTGTGGCACTATCAAGTTGTGTCAACCCCGGGGGGGCCTTGAAGGGGCCCTGAAGTTCCAGGAACAGCCACCAGCCCCCGCTGACCCCGCACAGGACTTGGCCCAACTGGCTGTGCCCTTCATCAATGGTGTTCCGCTCCTGCTCCAGCCCCAGGACCTGCCTCATGCCCAGGTACTGATAACTGCCCCTCCCTTTACAGCCCATATACCAGTTCTGTTCTGGTGCTTTGGGTTAATGAGGGTCCTGGAGCAAAACTGTTTACGTTTGACACTGAGTTGTGCTGCTATCATCTTGCAGGACACTGGGGACCTGTGCGAGGACTGCGCTCGCCTGGTGGCAGCTGTGCAGTTGGAGCTGAGCAACGGGGCCACCACTGCTCGCTTACTGATGGCCCGTGCCAAGGAGGAGTGTGAGGGCCTGGGGCCCGTCCTGGCACAGCGGGTAATGTCGCTGCACCAGGGACATCCTAGTGGCTGCTGGGGCTGGGAGGTTGCAGAAGGCAGTGGTGGTCACCGTGCCCCAGCTTGTTTGATATCTTTATTGACCTGGATGAGGGGATTGAGTGCACCCTCAGTAAGTCTGCAGATCACACTAAGTCGAGAGGAAGTGTCAACCTGCCTGGGGACAGGAAGGCCCTACAGAGTGGTCTGGGTAGGCTGGATTGCTGGGCTGAGGCCAATGGAATGAGGTTCAGTAAGACTAAAGTCTGTGTCCTACACTTTGATCGCTTTAACCCCAGGCACTGCTAAAGGCTTGGGGCAGAGTGGCTGGAAAGCTGCGTGGAAGAAAAGGAAGTGTTCCAGAGTTGGGGAGATGTGGCACTGAGGGATGTGGGCAGGAGGGGGTGGGCTGGGGTTGGGTTAAGTGATTTGAGAGGGCTTTTTTAACCTGGATGATTCTATAATCCTATGTTCTTCCTGCACAGTGCAATTACCACCTGGCGAAGTATGCGGACACAGCTGCCTGGATGCTCCGGCACTTGGTAAGCAGGAGAGCTGCTCTCCAGTGCTTCCTTTTGCTTCTACAACTTTCTAGATAGCTCTCACTGTTGCAATTCATTTTTTAATGATCATTCTTGTATTTTTCTCTCCGCCCTCCACCTTCCCACCTCCAGCTGGCTGAGGTAAGCAAGATGCCCACTGGCAGCCCAGTAGGACCATCACAGGTCCATGGGCTGAATGTGAGCCATGTCTCCACAGGACCCGCGGGAGCTCTGCAGCATGCTGGAGCTCTGCCCCACAGCAGACCCAGGACCCCTGCACACGCCGCTCTCCGAGAAAATGGCCCAGCTCCTGGGCACGCTGCTCTCCAATACGGTATGGCCCCGGCCCCTCTGCCAGGAAGGGTGGATGGGGTGAATGCAACTTAGCCCTTTTCTCTCCCTCCCAGGAGACCACGCCGCTGTGTGAGATGTGCGAGTTCGCTGTGCGGGCGGCTGAGAGCCTCCTGGAGAACAACATGACAGAGGTGAGCGGGGGCTGTGGGGGGCTGCGGGCAGCAAGGCGATTTCCCCGTGGCATCACGGCCTCCCCACCCCACAGGAGCAGCTGGTGAACGACATTGAGAAGGTGTGCTACATGCTGCCGCACAGCGTCATTGGGCAGTGCAAGGACTTTGTGGATTCGTACGGCAAGGCGGTGGTCATCATGCTGCTGGAGGCCACCGACCCGCAGGCTGTGTGCACCATGCTGCATGTCTGTCCGCGCCAGGAGGCGGCCCGGGGGGCAGAGCTGGGGGCAGGGCTGGGGGCAGCACTGGAGCCAGCTGCTGGAGCATTTTGCAACGTCTGCCAGATCTTCATCACTTACCTGGATAATGAGCTGCTGAAGAATGAGACGCTGACAGAACTGGGCGCTGTGCTGGAAAAGGGCTGTGAGCTGCTGCCCGGCCCGCTCACCAGCACGGTCAGTGGGGCTGTGCCTGGGGTGGTCCCTGATCCCCACCCCAACACCAGGCTCACCCCAACCCCTCTCTCCTGCAGTGTGAGGCGCTGGTGATGCAGTACGAGCCAGCAGCTGTGCGGCTCCTTGTGCAGATGATGGACCCTGACTTTGTCTGCACTGTGAGTGCAAACCCACAGGTTGTGGTGGGACTGATAGCTTTCAGGGCACAACCTCACTCCTCCCCTATTTCCTCCTTGGCAGAAAATCCGAGCTTGTGACTCAGAGCTGACCTCAGCCCCCTGTGCCCAGGGACCTGACTACTGGTGCATCAGCATGGCCACGGCCACCGAGTGTGACGTAAGTGACAGCAGCAATCCTCCTGCCCACTGCCCACCCTGCAGCGGTGCAGCCCCCATCTGTCCCATCTCTCCCTGCAGGCTGTGGAACATTGCAGGCAGCATGTGTGGAACTAGGAGCATCTCCATCCTGGACCCTCCCTCCCTTGGGATGCAGCCACAGCACCAGGGATGGGGTGTCCCAGAGTTTCCCTGCTTGGCTCTGAGACACTCCAGTCCACTCTGCCTTCTTCTTTTCCACCCCCGGGGCTTGGATTTTTGGATCAGGTTAAGGGATTTTGTCTTGTTGTTGGGACTGGGAACTCAGCAGTAGGTTTGTTTCAACATACCCCCCTTATGCTATCTGCTGAGTGAAAACCTTTGGTCGTTCCCTTTCACATCCCACCCAGAACCGACACCAAAGACATGATCAGAGCAACTCCATGGACTGGGATGGGCTCTGCTGCTGCCGTGCTGGTCCCAGTTTGCTGGTGCTCTCTCACCATGGGTCCCACGTGATTTTTGGCAAGACCTTCGCTAGACTCAGTCCCAACTGGGGCAGCTATTTAATTTTATTTTTTTTTCCCATGGTCACCAGTTAAAGAAACAAAGCAGATTCCATGTGCCTGGCTTTGCATGACTTCTGCAGTAGATGAATGTTGCAGGGGGGAAGGAGAAGACATAGGCTGGGTTAGAAACATGCATGTGTTTTTATATATATATAAATATATTACATATGTTTATATATGCGCATATCTCTTATGTGTGTATATATACATGTTTATGTGTAAATGTATATACACATATAAATACATATATTTATGTATATGTAGATAGAAAGACACTGCCTTCACCCTGCTGCTGTGTGAGGATGGGCATAGCCTGCAGAAGGATGCAAACCCAGCACTGCAGGGCCAGGATGTGGGGTTCCCTTGCTGCAGGGAGGCATGGGCTGGTATCTCCAGCCCCGGGCATGGGATGCAACATGGGGTCACCTTCAATCCACTGGCACAGGAGCCTCCTGGAATATATATATATAGTGTGGGCATCCCATGAACACACAAATGAGTGAGTTTGGGATTTCCTTCCCAGCAAACATCTCTTGCAGGGGATCCTGATGCCAAAGTGTGGTGATGAGGCAGTGGTGTGCTGGCTTGTTCCCCACTACACCACCAATAAACACCTCCATCAACCTGGCTCTTGTCTCCCTTCTCTTCTATGCACCATGGTGATGCTTGTGCAGTGTCATGTTTCTCCCTAAAAACCAGGGAGAAACCAGGTAGTTTCTCCCTAAGTACTGGGCTGTAAGGGTGGGTGGAGGGATAAATTAAGGGAATTAAAGGGCTTTATTTACAAGAGGTGGCTTTAGGATAGTGATCGTGTTTGCAGGGCCAGAAGGAAGAACGACAGCTTAACCAAAGCCATAAGGAGTGTATTTCTGATTCCTGTAACAGACCATTCCCAAAACTCTCCACAAGGTAATGGTTGGAAACAACCCCCGAATGAACAAACCCGAGAGCCAAAGAGAGGGGGAGGACAAGGGGAAGAGGATACACACAAACACTCAACAGCCAGAAGCCCGCTATTGTCAGTCTCTCTCTTTTGATCACATCGTAACACATTTTAGTAAAGCCAGCAAAATGGAGAAATGTCTTCGGTTGGGTTTTTTCCTGCTGGAAAGGTGACAACAAGCAGTAATGCTGGGTGGCTTCAGGCCATCTGTGCTCGCCCAGCCCCATGACCACAGTTGAGGTGCAACGGGCTTTGGTCCCCCAGTTTGTTGTGGGGGGATGCCTTGCTGTGGCTGTGCTGTTTTCGGGTTGCCTTCACCCCCAGCCTCATAACGCTTGAGTTCTTTGCATTCACTCAGCATTATTAAAAAAAAAAAAAAAAAGTTAGTTTTTTAATAAAAAAATGAATTATTTAATGATTCAATGACACGCAAGGAAGGGCAGATCAGTCCTGAGAGCCCTCTCCCAGGACCCAGCTCTACAAGGCTGCTGGGTTGAATTGTAGGGACAGATGGAAAGGGGACTGAGTGCCGGTCTCAGTACCCACTGCCCCCCAGCTCTGTGCTTGTCCCCTGCCATCCCGGGCTGGCCTGGGTGGATGCCGCTGGTCATAGCTCAGTGATCTCCAGTGGGCTCTCCATGATCACCTCCCGCATCTTGTGCAGGGGGGTGGATTTGGCTGACTCGGTGCGGGCATTGTGGTCGTAAGCCCCACAGTCGGCAGTCAGAGTCTCCAGTGAGCGCCCCAGCACCTTCTGGTCATCTTCAGGGAGGCTGTTGAGGTCAGAGGCCAGCAGCGTACCTGTACTGCCGTGCACCACGTGGATGCCATCAGGGCCTTTCAGTTCTACTGGCTGCTTGTGCCGAAAGCGCAGGCTGCCCTGGCTGGGGCAGCGCTCCTCGTCCTCCTCCAGATCCTTCTGGATGAGCTGCAAAACCCCACCACGATGTCACCAGGTATCCTAACTCCCTTCTGGGGAGTTACAACTCAGAATCATAAACACTGGAAGCACCACTTAGATCATCGAGTTTAGCTGTCAGCCCATCACCACTATAGCACTAAATCATGATGCTCAGTATAACATCTCCCCTTTTCTTGATCATGACCAGGGACGGTGACTCCACCGCCTGCCTGTGCAGCCTGTATCAGTGCATCACTGGTCTGAGAAGGAGAGACCCAAACCTCCACAGGGAGCTCCACAATTGATCTCCCCTTGCTCATTTTGGGGAGCAGTTTTCTGTGCATCTGAATATTGCAAAGCTAGCCTTGGGCTTCACAAGGCCCTGGCACTGGGTTGTGGGGCCAGGAGGACACACTGCATCCCAAAGGGCACAGCAAGCATCTCCCCATGCCCACACACACCCCCTCTACCTCTGTGACCGAGGAGCGGTCCCCCTGACTGGAGGTGGCCTTATGCACCATCCGCTGGGCAAAGAGCCTTTTCAAGCGCATGTAATCATCCAGGACCACCTTCAGGAGAGATCCCTGGGTGGAGGAGGAGAGAGGATGAGTTATGCAAGGGAGAGAACTGTTTGTTGGAGGAAAGCTGGCCCCACGCTGGTGTTTCTCGCAGAAAAAAAAATCCCCTTCTGCTGTAGCACCTGGCGGGAGGAAGCAATGTTGGATCCACGGTGGGGATGCTCACCTTGATGGGTCCCTCGCGCATGATCTGCCCCAGCTTGGCAATGTTGTCGTACTCCTGGATGGCGGCTCGCAGGTAGCGGTCATCCTCAGGCTTGGCAGCTGAGGGCTCTCTGCCGAAGGTGCCCTGCAGGAGGAGAGCACGGCTTTGGTGTCAGCATGAGAATGGGCATAGAAGTAGGTGAGCAGGGCCAGGGCTGCGTCTCACATGGGTCCTGGCTGGGCTGTTCCAGAGGTCAGTGATCTCGCTCAGGTTCTCTGGAAGGTCATCTTCATGCTCCGCTTGTGCCGCCAGTTCCATGGTCCGGCAGAAGGGGTCGAGCCACACGGGGTTGGCCCTGCCTCAGGAGGGGAAGAGTGCTCAGCCCAAGGGAGAGCAAGAAGAGGGCAGCCAGAAAATGCCCCAAATACTGTGCCCAGCTGAATCCCTCCATAAAGCAGAGGATTCTCTACCGCCAGTTCATCCCTGGCTGTAACATGTGGATACGCCATTGAGAGCATCCTACGATGTATGAGGAAGCAGAGATAGAACTCACCCGTCAAAGGAGTACTTGTTGGTGTTTGGCATGTCCATGATGTCCATGAAGCCTCTATTGCCTGCAAAAGGCAGGGGTAGAGGCTACCCAGCAGCTCAGCTGCTTATGAGCAGCAAAAAGCTATGGGCATGAGACAATTTCTTTATGAGGGGAATTCAGTGACAAAAAAGGCACTGGTGGCAGGAAGACCACTTCGTGATGGGGCTGATGGGAGGGAGCCTGGATGAGGAGAAAGCTTCCTATCACCACACCTCCATATCTAGCACCATTCATGCCAGCCAGGCACCCTACTGAGCCATGCAGATGGAAACCCCCAGCACTGCTCACCTGTGGAGCCCGCCACAATGGCTTTCAGCTTCCTTTTGTGCCTGTGAGAGAAAAGAATACAGCAAATTAGCAGAAAATCAGAAAGATGTCTGGAAGGAGCAGAATGTGCAGGTTATTGGAAGTCAGGCACTACTCACACGGTGCGGTAATACCAGTTCATGAGGATGAAGAGCATGGCAGCCAGGAAGAGCAGGACAGCCAGCACGATGATCGCCATCTGGGAGAGACAGAGGGGTAGGGACAAAATGAAAGTAATTATATTTATTAAAATAATATATAAATAATATAAAAATATAATTAATATATAAAATAAGAGTATTATGTACGATATATATAATATTAGAATAATAATATTAGTATTACAGTAAAAAATAAAGTGTTACTACATGGGAGGAAGGAGCTTCACCTGCAGAGCTGAGAGGTCGTCCGGGGCACGGGCAGTGATGGCGGGCTGTACATCCAGCACATTATAGTTCCTGAAGAGGTTCCTCAGCTGCTCCTTGTTCTCATCAATCATCTGAATCACCCTGGGGACAGAAGAGTGCTTGGGCCTCTTGATCTGTAAGGCTCAGCATGGGCTCTGACCAATGGCTAACGTACCGCTCCACATCCAGGATGCGGTTGGTCTCTCTGTTCACCACATGGATCAGCAGCTCTGTCTGTGCGAAGTTCACCCGGCCTTTCTTGTCCACATGGAACTGGGGAGAGACAGCAAGGTCTGCAATGCTGTAAGGGTGTCTCCTCAGGGAGCATCTCCTGAGGCATGCTCACGTGTCATTGCCCACATTCATGCAGGGACAGCCCTGTCCTCAGCTAGCAGTGCTCGAGATGTGTCCACAGCCAGATTGCTGGGCACTTGACTGGTGGTGGAGTAGCCACATTGCTCCACAGCAACCAAGGCCAGGGTTGGTCCTCCACTTCCAGACCCTGAGAACCTCTGTATCTACATGTGGGAGGTGACCTGCCCCTCAAAATAACCTGGAGAACTGATGGTTACCTGCACATCATCAGTGTTAACGATGGCACCCGTGATGTTGGAAAGCAGACTGATGAACTCTTCCTCAAACTGCCTGACCTTATCGGGGATCTCATTGATGATAATTTTGACTCTCTGGTCATCCCGCAGGATGTAGATCCCCACAATGGCTGTGTCATTGTGGCCCACCAGGTCAGAGGCCATGATGTCCACCACAAAGTAGCCAGGATTATAGGCCGTGAAGAGATCAAAGGTTCTTAGGATGCCATCAAGAGTACCTGGGAAAAGGACATCCACAAGTCCAAGGTTAGTGCAGCCACTTCAAAATGCTCACCTAAGGTCTCCATCAAGGAATATTGCAAACCAGGGCTTGGCAGGTGACATACAGAAGCTCTTGCAAGCTAGAGCCTACATTGTGAGTGGAAGAAAGAGGATGGAGGAACAGCCATGCTGCCTAGTGACTATGGCTATGAAGGGCATCTTTGACCATGGAATCATCTGGCCCTGCACTCCTGCAGTATCCAGGCTACGCACCAATGCTGAAGATGTTGGCCACCTCCTCAGAATCATTGGAGTGCTGCTTGATGTAGCGGATCCCCAGGATGCTGTACAGGACTAGGCTGTTGTTGCCCACATCAGCGTCCACAGCCAAGACCTTGATCAGCTCTGATCCCACCTTGGCATCTGTGGCCACGCCTTTGGGAGGGAGATAGAAGAGAGATCTGGATCTGTGCTGCATTGCTTTTCCATCCCCTCATCGCTGGGATCCCCTCCCAGACACCAGCAGTCCTTACCCGCTGTGTACTCCGACTTGGTGAACTGGGGGGACTGGTCATTGATGTCATCCAAGAAGATCCGCACCTCCTGAAGAGTCAGATCTGTGCTGAGGTCCCAGGACTGTGCTCTGCCTGCATGCTGGCCCCGGGGTGGGGACCAGTTCCTCTGGCTGGATGCTTTGACGATGATGGAGTAGTAGGGTTCCTTCTCGCGGTCCAGGTCGCGCAGGACTTGGAGCTTCCCCTCCCGGCTCAACTGGAAGTTGCTCTCTTGGTTCCCAGCTGCATGCAGAAAGAGGAGCTGAGTCACTTGCCTTTTGGCTCACCATGTACTTTACCATGTTAGAAATACCGTGAGCAGCCCAGGGGAGCTATGCAAACCCTTGTAGAGCATGCAGGCGGGCGTGGGGTGCTCAGACCAGAACATATGCAGAGTGACGCTAGGGACGATAGCTGAGGACATCATCCTTGTTTGGCCATGCTGTGACCCCATCTCACCTGCTATGAAGTAGTAGACGATGGCATTGGAGCCCTCATCTGCATCCACTGCACCAGTGACATTGCCCACCACGGTGCCAGGCTGCGAGTGCTCAGGAACGTAGAGTGCCTGGTACTGGGGGCTGTCTCTCTGCCGAAGCCCAGGAGAAGGTAGGGAAGGCTTATTGTGGTGTATGAGCCTTGAGTGCTCCCCGCCTCACCCCCCCTTTTTTTTTTTCTTTCCCTTTTAAAGGCTAGAAGTGTCCAAACTCCATTGTGCTTCCCAGTGCAGTGATGCCCAGCAGTGCACGCTCTATCACATGCAGCCCCATCCCAGCACCCTCTTTGCCCTCCTTGATGCCTTACAGGTGGCCTGAGGAAGATAGGCTCATTGTCATCAATGTCATCGAGCGCGACCTGGAGGGGCTGCATCGTCTCATAGGTTGGCTGGCCCTGGTCAGAGGCCACAATGATCAGCTAGGGAGAGAAATAAAGTGCTGTTCTGGGCAAAGGCAAGCAGAGTGAAGGGACATTGCCAAGGCAGCGGTAGAGGGGTGGCTGGGTGGCAGAGGGAATTTAACAGGGAACTGGGTGATGGCCCACCACCACCATGTCCTCCAGGACGCAACCTTCTGGTGGCCACCTCTTGACCGTACCACATCCCTCTTGCATCCTCTGATATTGTTTGATAACCATGTGATTCCTGCTAAGGTGGTGGTGGGAAATTTCCACTACAGGGGCAGATGTGACCATCCCTGGTCATGGCCTGCACCCTACCAGCCCATCCTTTGGACCAGTCCAGTGTGTTACCACCTCACTCACATTGTACACTGCTTGCTTCTCCCGGTCCAACCGCATGGCCGTCTGGATCAGCCCACTGACAGCGTCGATGCTGAAATACTCCCAGTCCTTGTTCCCTGCCCCGGTTTTCAGGAGGCTGTACAGTACTGCCCCATTGAGACCCTCATCCTTGTCAGTGGCATAGACCTCGTAGACGTTGGAGCGCAGAGGGATCTCCTGTTGGCACATGGGCAGCACCTCAGCCCCCAAACTGCAAGCCAGCCCCCAAACTGCAAGCCAGCCCCCAAACTGCAAGCCAGCCCCCTGCTCCATCAGCCCTCCCAAACCCCATTGTACTGGCTCATGTTGCCCAAAACAGCCTGGGGCTTGCAACACCCATGGCACCTCCTGCACCTTGCAATGCACTGCTCATGTATCCTGGGGGTCACCATCCCAGCTGTTCCTGTATCCAGTGCTGGAGCTGTGCAGCCCACACTGACAGCTTCAAAGGGGAAATGTGGAATTCTGATTTTTTACGGAATAGCTGCAACTCTGGGTACTGGTTGGAGCCAAGCCTGGCTCATGTTTATAGCATGTTCAGCATGCAGTGACTGGCTATTTCCGTATTTTGTACACTGCCAGGGTTTCTGTTCCCCAGGATGTCCCTCTGGGAAACAGCTCTGCTCAGAGGCTGGTCTAACATCCAGAGATGACCTCCTCATCCCAGGAAACACTTCCAGTTTTAACCAAAAGCAAGTGCCAACCCAACTTCTTGCCATGTGTTAAATCAAGGTCTTCTATCATCCCTGATGGGCATGGAGAGTGTTTTTGTTCACCAGAAAGGCTGTGTGCCATGGTGTGCCACCTCTCTCTGCCTATCTCCCACCCCTCAAGCCCCAGATGTACCTCCTTGATGTGCAGAATGGTGCCATTGGGGGGGCGGACAAAGACAGGGCGGTTGTCGTTGATGTCAATGACCTCGATGTGAAGCATGGTGGTCCCCCAGAGTGGGGGACGACCTTTGTCTGTGGCCACCACAGTCAGGTTGAATCTCTCATAGGACTGCAAGCGCCGCCGGGATGTGATAAGGCCAGAGTCCTTATTGATTTTGAAGGCCTCTGGGGACAAGGAAAACACACCTCAGGTTCAGGAAACTTGACACTAAATAAACAAGGAGTGATATACTTCAGAAATCTGTCCACCAGATGAAGCACATCCCTTGCCAGTGGAAAATCCCTATGATGGGGTGATGGAGCAGAGCTGTCTGTCTGAGCCTAGGGTGCCACCTGGCTGCTGAATTCTCACACCTGGGCAGCATCAAGGAGGCCACCCTGCTGTGTTTCAGTGCTGCTCAGGGATTACTGGATTTCAGGCATCATCTCTATCCACCTGCAAAACCTTAACCCTTATTGGCCCCTACAGCTCCTCACCATAACCCTGTGTGTCCCCCAGTGAGAAGCCAGCCTCCTGTGGCACCTACCTGCTCCAGGACCCTCAATGCTATAGGTCACCACACCGTTGTCCCCCTCATCCAGGTCCGTTGCGGTCATGGTGATCACTGATGTACCTGCTGGCTCATTCTCGTAGACGCTGGTGCTGAACTGGCTCTTGCTAAACTGCGGTCTGAAGTCATTGATGTCCAGGACGGTGATCAGTACCTTCGACAAAGCCCAGCCCACTGGGTCACATGAGGAAGGAGACCCTGCCATGACTGCCACTGGAGCACGGTGCCCTTCCTGCTATTTGTCTCACTCTACTGGCCCAAACCTATCCCCAGCAATGGAGACAAACACAGCCAGGGCGCCCATTCACTCCATGACCGTATGGAGCCCTTCCAGACAGTAGCATCCACCTCCCCTGCCCCTCCTGCCCCACGTACTCCCATGGATGCTTGGTGCCCATAGTGTAAAGTCCCCCGCACTGTTAATCCCACAGCCCCATGTCCTGGGATCCTCTGCTCTTCCTTCAGGCTCATTCCTACCTAGAGCTGGTGGTGACCTACCTGCACAGAGTTCTCCCGACGGTTACTGGAGATGTCCCCAGGGTTGTCCCTAGCCACAGCTGTCAGCGTGTAGTGGTCCTTCTTCTCCCGGTCCAGGGCTGACAGGATGTAGATGTCACCCTGCAGCACACAGACACCTTCAGGAGTGCCTTATCTGGCAGAGCTGGTACTTGACAAGGGACAGACAGTGAGGTACAGGAGCAAGGCTGCCCTTGGGGCCACAGGGTGGCATCTTCTCAGCCTGCCTGCTCTTTTTCTCCCTCTGTTCTAGCTTTAACTGGCTCCTTACCGTTTCGGGATTTATCCCAAACTTGCCCTCTCCATCCCTTAGGCTGTACTGGATGAGAGCAAAGCGCCCAGAATCCGCATCTGTGGCCTTGACCCTCAGGATGACCGTACCCAACGGCACGTCCTCAAAGACAGCTTTCTGCAAGTAAAGGGAGCAGGGAGGGCTGGTTGCTGCACTGTCTGCCATTTTTGTAAGAAAAGACTGTTAATGACTAGCTAATCCACCAAGGCAATACTCAGGTGAATGCACCACTTCCCAGCTCTGCACAGATTTGGACCCAGCTCACCTGGTAGGACGGCTGGCTGAAGATGGGGTTGTTGTCATTGACGTCCACTATCTGGAGGTACACAGGGATCTCGGCGGATCTGCGGGGAGAGCCGTTGTCGGAAGCTCGGACAGTGAAGTTCAGCCACTGCACCTCCTCGTAGTCCACTGTCCTGTTGGCCACGACTTTCCCTAGAGGATAGCAGACCCTGAAATGAGAAACCTGCCCCCAGATCCCCTCCTGACAGCCTTTTCTACACATAGAATATGGCTCAGTAGTGATGATGGAATAAAGGAATCTCTTCTGCTATAAGTCAGAAGAGAATTAATTAAAGAAACCTTTCTATAGTCTAGCTACCATAGTAAGCCAGAAATCAGACAGCGCTTCTATGGAGCTCCCTATCTACTTGGTTAGATTTGGTCCTCAGTTGCCAAATCCTGGCCAAATTTCTCATAGAATTACTACAGCTTGTTCCTTTTAGGATTGGGCTGTGTCAAGAGGCTTCAGACACTCCACCTCTTCCCTGCTTTTCTCACAGGGGTTGTGGGATGCACACCTTCCCAGACTACCAACCTGCCGACTGATCCTCTAGGCAGGCATAGCCTTCTGGGGACAGGTCCAGCAGCTCATAGGTGATCTGCCCATTGGCCCCTTTGTCTGGATCCACTGCTGAGATGGAGATGAGTGTGGTGCCTTGTGTGGCTCCCTCCAGGATCCGCTCGGTGAAATAGGTGACCCCGAACGGACGGAAGCGTGGCGTGTTGTCATTGACATCCAAGACGTTAACCGTCAGTTTGGCTGGGGACAAAATGGGGGAGAGAAGAGAGAGAAAAGGAGAAGTGAGAAAGAGAAGGGAAAGAAGGATGGAATGGTCCTAAAGAACATGAAACTCCAGGAAAGCCAACTAAACTGAACTGGATCATCAAGAGAAATGGCTATCTTCAGCTGCGCCCCTAGCTGGCTGTGGGACATACTTCAGCCCTAAGCTGGTCTGTGTGGCTGGCTGTGGGATGGTGGCCAAGGGCCATGAGGTCATACTGGTGCCTAGGAAAGGCAACATGTGGCCCTGTGCTGCCTGGTTACCCCCATGGCAAGGAATCATGCTTACCATTGGGCACGCTGACTGAGCGGTCAATGACTTCACTGGCATTGTCATGGACGGAGATGGTGACCTCGTAGGTGGCCACAAGTTCCCGGTTGAGGGGGGTTTTGATCTTCACAGCTCCTGGAAACCCCAAGAGGTTTGGGTTAGAGGCTGTACCTGCACTTTGTTGAGGACCCTAGGCAGACTGATGGGCACCAGCCAACTGTTACTCCCTCCTGTGTGTTCACACGTTTACCTCTCCATGGCTGAGCAGGGAAAGCACTTGATAACTATGTGAGGAGATGACTTCACTCTCTGTACTGTTCATCACGTGCCATCCTGCCTGTTCCACTCGGCCCAGATAGCTGGGTCTCCCTCTTCTCTACCAAAGATTTAGCTTGTGCAGACAAAAGGGATTTGGGAGCAACTTCTGCTGCATCACTGCATGACTGTCATTCACCTTCATGCAACATCAAGGCACTTTTAATAGTCTTTCCCCACCTCCTTTCCTCCAAGTGATTTTTTCTTTCCCATATCAGCTCCATGCTTCCAAAACACTCCTGGGGGAAGGCTCCTGGCCCTCCTGCCCTTGAGGCTGGTACCACTTACTCCATTCCCCCCACCCCAGCCCCCTTCTGTGAGGGTGCCCGCATCCGGTCTGCAAAGGCTGAGCAGCCACCGCCTGCCTGCCTGGCCACCTGCAATGATAATGGGTGAGATGGAAGGATGGCATGGAGGGAGAAACAGGTGTGGACACAGAGACAAACCTGGTGAGCCAAGAGCTGGAAAAAGGAAAGAAAAGGGTTAGATAAGCTGGAATAGCAGAGCAGGGAGGCAGGAGTTGAGCATCATCGCCCCATGCCTTGAACACCTACCTCCAGGCACAGAAGAAGAAGCAGAAGAGAGAAGAGGGATCCATGCTGCCCGCACCACCCTTCCCGCTCTCCTACCTGTCCTAAAATCCACCGTGAATGCTTCCTGCTGGTCGGGCACCAGTGCATCTGTGTCATCACGGGCCACAATCTCCAGCAGGTAGTACTCCAGGCGTGGATGGAGGTCCCGGTCAATGGCGGTCACCTCGGCCACCACGGTTCCAGGGATGGCTGATTCAGGCACGCTGACTGTCTGGATGGGGTTGATGAATTCAGGCCGGCAGTCATTGACATCATCAATGAGGATGCTGATGGTGGCAGTGCCTGAGAGAGCCGGTGTGCCCTGGTCCACGGCCACTACTGTCAGCCGATAGGCATCCCGCTCCTCCCGGTCAATGCTGAGGTTGGCCACACGGATCACCCCTGTGGTGGCATCAATCAGGAACCTGTCCTGGCCTCCGCCCTCGATCCTGTAATCCAGTTGCTTGTTGAGGCCACTGTCTGCGTCTGTGGCTGTCACCTGGAGGACGGAAAAGCCTGGAAAGGGGGAATGCAGCCCACTAAGCTAAGGAATGGAGGGCAGCAGCAATCAGTCCCATTGCCAAGGAAAATGCCACCAAGCAATGTTGGCAGCCCTAGCTCCCAAACTGCCTCTTCAATCCCAACTCAGTCAACTCTATAGTCAGTTGCTGGCTTCACACAGTCCTTTGGATCACCCTTATGTCCCTGCTCTCCACCCTCACCTGGGGGGCTGTTTTCCCTCAGCCGAGCTGTGATGGACACTGGCTGGAAGACAGGGCGGTTGTCATTGTCATCCAGGATGGTCACTGTGAGACTAGCGGTGCTGTTCAGCCCCCCAGTGTCAACGGCCACCAGCGTGAAGTCCAGCAGTGGGTCCAGCAAAGCTTCACGGTCTATCACACTACCAGGCTTCACTGAAACAACACCTGGAGGAGCAGAAAAGTCTGGTGACAGACCCCACTTCTGCCTGGTGGCCCTGGGCTGGGGACAGTGGTCTGCCACATCACCTCACCTGTCCTATTGTTGATAATGAAGAGGTCCAGGGATGTTGCCAAGAGCTGGTAGGTCACCATAGCATTACTGCCCTGGTCACCGTCCAAAGCTAGGATGGGTCCATTGAGAATGGTGACTGGAGTTCCTGGATGGGACAACAAAGGTTAGAAAGGGTGGCAGGCCCCACAGAGTCCCCCACCCCCTTCCCACCCTGGTGATGCATGAGAGACAGCAATGAATGAATGGAGGAGGTGACAGAGCGAGGCCTTGTGGGGCGTGAGGGGGTGGCTGCTGCAGCCCTGCAGACCGGCATGTGGGGCCCAGACATGGCAGCGGGATATCCTGCTGAAAGCAAACAGACAGACACATCCATCAGATCAGCTTCTATGTGCTGTGGAATGGGGGCTCCTGGGGGGTGTCCAAACCCTTTGCCTGGGAGCAGCTAGGAGCTAGGTGGGAGATGCGTCTTGGAGCAAGAAGTGATTTAAAAGGCAGAAAAGAAGAAAAACATAAAAATAAGAGGGACATTCTTAGCACTTGGGCTGAAAACTGTCCATCTGGACAGGCTGGACTGTTTCATCTTCATCCCATGAAGCAAGACAGCTCTAGGTGCTGGTGATGGAGAGATGGCACCCTGTCCCCTATAACACCCACTGGCTGCCCACAGGGCTGAATTTGGACAATGATGTTGCTCTCTGCTGTTGACATTTGCTAAACAGGGCTGATTCACTGCAAACTTGCATCTTGCCTGTGCCAGAAAGGGTTTCCACTTGCTGCATAGACAAAAGCTGTGGTCTCCTGCAGGCTGACCTCCCCTCACACTCAGCATCCCCTTCCCACTGACCTTTGGCCTCACCCTGCGTGGTGGCACCATTGGAGCACAGCCCGTGGTGCCTCCTCCATGGTGGCCAGGAGGAACTTCCCCTTGCCCGGCCCCCCAAGGAGTGAGGACAGACCTACCCGGGGGTGAGTTCTCCATCACCTCGGCCTGGTAGGAGCTCTGGGTGAAGAGGGGGTGGTTGTCGTTTTCATCCGCTATGGAAATGACCAGCAGGTCAAAATCCTAAAGGTTTGTAAAGGAAAATGGGGACAAGAGGGTGATGACCGCACGGTCCTTTCAACAAGATCACCACCCACTTCTCCTACAGAATCGTGTTCCCCAGAATTGGAGCCCTGTGCAACCATGTTCCCCAGATTACCCAGGAGACTCTACAGGGATACCCATCCCAGAGCCAGGAATCCCTTCTTAGCCCACACTCTCAAAGCATGGTGTTTGGGACATCCAGACAGATGTCACTGGTTGTTCAGCTCCCCAGCCCAAATCTGGCCCTCCATTCATGATGTCTACTGCTATTGCATGGAGTCAACACAAAATATCAGATTTGCTCTAAAACCTACTGGCCTCATTCTCTGTTGGTGGGGTAATGCAGCCCCCTCTCCTTGTGCCCCCTAGATGCTTTCAAAGGATGAGAACACTGTTGGAAATGCTCCCTGTTTTCTGGTCGTGGCAGGAGCCCCTTCTCCCATGCCCTGCCTCCTACACAGCTGGAGGTCTGGCAGTGTCTGTAATTACCCGCCTGGCATTGCGGATGTTCTCAGGGTTGTCCTTCACCGTGATGGTCAGCCTGTACTCTGCCACCCGCTCCCTGTCCAAGGGGCGGTTTACGTAGATGATGCCGGTCTACCAAGAAAAAAGGAAGAAATAGGTACAAGGGGTATGAGGTGGGCTTCACCTGCTGGACAAGGCATCCTATGGAATGCATAGACCAGAGCAGTCCTGCCTGGTGCCATGAAGTTCTTGGGGACCCACCAGCCAGTAGAGCCCCATGTCTCTACACAGCCCCACTTCGGTGTCCAGTGCACCCGTGACCCACAGATCTTCACCTTCCTTAGCTCTGGAGAGCCCTACACCCTTCCCAGGGTGCAAGACAGCCCATGGGGGCAAAGGAGGGAGCTGTGCCCACCCTACAACCCCTGGTGCCCAACCCCTCAATGGGGCGTACGGTGCTGTTGATGTAGAAGGCACTCTCTTTGTTGCCAGCAGTTATGTCGAAGGTAAGGAGGGCATTCGGGCCCTGGTCTGCGTCCTGAGCGAGGATGCGTGTGACGAAGCTGGAGACCGGGGCGTGCTCACTGAGGGTGATGTTCATTGGCAGGTTGAGGAGCACGGGGTCGTTGTCATTGATGTCCAGCACACGTACACCCACAAGCATCTGCAGGGGCAGAGAAGAGGTACAGGCTCTGATAGGGAGCACTTATGTCTATTCCTCCCATCCCCTTCCAGTAGGAAGGAGTTGGGGACACAAGATGGTGGCTTGCTGTGGACTCACCGTGGAGCTGAGTGGGGGCACACCCCGGTCCCGGGCGGAGATAGTGAGGTTGTAGAAGGGGACGTTCTCACGGTCCAGCTCAGCATCCTTCCGCACCCGTAGCTCCCCCTCCACTGGGGAGATCACAAACTCCCCTGCCAGAGATGGCAGGGCCATGGCTTGCACTGTGCCACCCAAGGGGACAGGGGACATGCACCCTGGTTCTGAGGTTGGCTCTGGGCACAGGGAGGGGTGTGCTCTGTGGGCTTGGGGACAGTCCCATTGCCAGGGGAACAGGGTAGCAGGGTCTATCCCAGGACCCAACGTCCACGCCAGGAGAGGAGGAGCTGGGTAGGGGGACTGAATGGCAGAAGAAAGGTGCTCACAGTCCTTTCTGAAGATGCCAAAAGCCCTCCAAGCACCCGTTTGTGACTGGGCAGGGGGCCTGCATGGCATGGATGGGCCCAAAGCCAAGGAGCCGCTTCTCAGTTGTTCTGGAGATGTTTTGCAGCCAGGGTCAGCTGGTAGATGGGACTGGGCTCTGCCTTCCAGAAAGCCTTGGCTGCCATCACCAGCCACTCTGGGGGTAGTGAGGGGGGTGGTGACAGCTGTAGCTACATCCCCTCAGCTGCCACACAGCCGGAGACACTCGCAGCTGCTCTGCCATCTGCTCTGGGGCTGCAGCTTTGCCATGAGTTACACGGACATTCAGACCGCAACGCATCCTGCAATGCTGCTCTATGCTTACATTTCTCTGTTTCTCTTTCTGTGCTATTTATTTTGTTGCATTTGTCGTTCAGCAGATTCCTCCCTCCATCCCCTCTCCCCCAAGTTGGGCTTGCACAAGACCAGGCCCCCATCCTTGGCCATTAACAGGTTAAATTTCCTGTTGCTCAAAACAGGATTTCCTGGTGTCGAAAGGCAGAATTTGCAGAAGCAGCCAGCTGGGAGGATGGCTTTTCTGAAAGGCTTCCGCCTGCACTCCGCAACTCCTCCACCCACCCCCCTCCCTGCCTGGTGGCAAGGCTCTGCTTCAAAAAACCACAAAATAAAGCAAAAAAGGAAGGCGAGCCCATCCTTCCCATAAGCGTGGGCTGCATTCCACGTTCCCCTGTAGAGCAGGGCAAGAGGGATGGGGCCGTACCACTGCCTCTAGCACAAAATTTAGGAGCTAGCACCCCACGTCCCTGCTCACCCAGAGGGTCCCCAGCGATGATGCTGTACTCCACCTGCCCACCGGGCCCCGAGTCCCCATCGTGGGCCAGGAAGGTCCAGATGCGGGGGCCAGGCTGTCCCTCTGTCACATCGAAGGGGCCTTCGTAGGGCCGTGGGAAGGTGGGACAGTTGTCATTTATGTCATTGAGATTCACCAGCACCTGCAGGAGAGGGAAGAGGGTGAGAGGTTTGGGAGAGGGTACTGACCCTGTGCTCACTGGTGGAGGGGGCTACCGGTGGAAAACTCCACATTCACACCCTGACAATTCCAAGTTGGATTGAAAACATGAGAGAAACATGCTTGTCCACAAAAGAAATGAGTTCACAGAGAGCTGCTCTCTGCAGGCAGCTGCTCTCTGGTGCACTGAAAGGCTTTCTCACTCCTTTTCCTCCTGGACAATCAAGGGCTTCACCTCTCATGATGAGCAAATAAGAAAAAATTTGCAGATTGCATGCTTATTCAAACACAAAACAACACCAACGCAGTTGGCTTACCATCCCTTTCCATGACACATTTAGCTGGCTGGACATCAGTGAGCCTACAGTCTCAAAAAAGCATCAACAGTTTCGGGACATAGTAGAGCATGGCTGAGCTTGGGTCTTTCAGGCATATGGCCTTTTAACTGAGTCACCATCCACAAAACTTGTTTATATATCTGTATTTCATTATATCACAGAGAGAGTTAAGCCCTTCTGGGCACTTGCATGGCAGAGAATGCCTGTCTGAGGAGAGAGTCTCTGGTGGCTGGTGAAAGGCTGAGCTTATGGAGCACTAGGAGAGGCTCCTCCTTCTAGCTGGCCATATGGGTTTTATGGATGGCTATGAAGAAGATGCTAAACAGGAGATGCTTTTTGATCTCCTGGATTGAGGGTCATAAGGTTTGTCAGATGGACATTTGGTACTGGCTAAATCTAATCCCTGAGGACTATATCTGAGTGACTGCTCCGTTTCCTAGCAGCAGAGAAAACAAATACTGGCATGCCTTATCAGGGAGATGGATTTCCCATCACTTGTGATCCAAAATAATCACTAAATCTTCTTCTAAAAGCTTTGCTTTCAAAAATGTACTGGCAGAGCTATGTGGGCGGCATGCGGAGGATGTTTCCTCTCCTGTCTAGCCCTGGTCCTTGTTGCTGATAGAGCTTCCAAATTCATGTCTCACTGTGGTCAAGGGAAAGCTCTGCCTTTGCCTGCAGCACTCCAAGAGCTGCTGCCTCCCCTGTCCTGTCCTGCAGGCTCCAAAATCACTTTGGACATGGACAACACCATACAAAAATCAAAATCACATTTTGATTTCATCCACAGAAGTAATCAGTGTGTTCAATTTGTGCAAAACATGTGCTTTGGAACTGCTAGCCTACCCTCCCTTCCCCGAGCAGACCCTGACTGATCTTGGAGCAGAACACAAAGTTTAGGACATTGCAAGAAAAAGGAATGAAATGCTCTCAGTAACCTCCCTACACGGAATGAAACAGGAATTTGGAAAGCAGATGAATAATGGTGGCTGAGCCCAACCGTGAGCACTCTGTTTTGCAACCCCAAGACGAAACAGCAACTGGGCCAACTGGGAAGAGTGTCTGGTGAGCACTAGGAAGGAGATGTGAAACCACTCGTGAGAGGATATAATGCTACAGTGGGGTGGAAAGTACCACGATAATAGCAGGATGGCAAAGTCTTTGGCTACAGCAAAGGAGAACAAGCCCAAATGTGGCAGACACAGAAATGAAGGAAAAGAGCTGCTTACCTTTGGAAGGCCTCAGGTAGGCAGGGATCTCCAGCAAGAGATGCCCTCACTTCCACTTTCACCCCTTAAATGAGGTCTGGGAAGGGGTGGATCGTGACTCCACCCCTTCTGGTCACTCAGGTGCACTGCTGGATTGGCCCTGCCTTCCCCAGGTTCTCAATCACTGTTTCAGGCCATGATTTAGCATTTATGCTATGGAGGAGAACTCCTGGACCCCAAAGACACTACAGTGTCGCAATCCTACCGTGGTGGTTGATGTCAGCCGGCGCGAGGCGATGGGGCACTGGTCAGTGGCAGTGACCACCAAGGTGTAGCGCCCGTGGCTGATCTCGTAGTCCAGCTCCTTCAGGGTGCGGATCTGTCCCTGCAAGGCAAGGGGACAGCGGCTGGGAGTGAAGATCACAGGAGGAGGGTATGGCTGAGCTGCGGACAGCATCCTAGATAGCATCCTGACTGACCGTGGTGCTGTTGATGTGGAAAGTGCCCAAGATGTTGCCTTCAGTGATAGCATATGTCACCGTGCCATTGGGCCCTTCGTCCCGGTCCAGGGCCTGCACGGTGACGAGTGTGGCATTGAGAGTGGCAGGGCCCTCATCCAACGTCACCTCGTACAGCTGCTGCTGGAACACTGGAGCATTGTCATTCTCGTCCAGGATGGTGACGAACACCGTGGTGGTGGCCTGTGGTACATGGGGACAGCATGTTAAGGCCCGTGGTGAGCAAAGCTTGACCTGCCTGGGTCATTGAGCAATGTGCGGTTAGCCCTGCCGAGAGCTGCAAGCAGGATGCATGAAGCATTGCCCTAAACCAAAGGGATGTGGGGCTGCAGGAACATCTCCAGCACAAGGCAACATTTAGTAGTGGTTAGGAGTTAGGTACAGAGTTAAAGCATGCATATATTAAATCCCAACCTTGTTTCAAGCACAACACATCTCAGTAACATCTCAGTTTCTCCTGCTTTCTCCCATTGCTGCTTACTCCAGGCAGAAGCCCGTGGCAGAGGAAAAGCCAGACACTGAACCCCACTGTGCGTTGCTGTCTGTGAGTAGGTCTTAGCAGGTTCCCACTGTGACACTGGGGACACCTTGGTCACGATTACTAAGATGGAAAATACGCAGAACTGCTTCTGCTATGACTTAGAGGAAGAACAAAAATGAGCATCTCAGACAACCCATGTCCTCTGGTCATGTCACCCATGGACACACAGCTGGGAGTAGGGAGGTGACAAGAGTATGCCACCATGCCTAATGGCTCAGATGGTGGTAGGACCCCTCCAGCAGAGTCTTGGGATGGATGAGAAATTTTTTTGGAAGGGGATGAGGAGCAAATGAGATGTTTCTGGGCAGCAGGATGGCTGGGGTCTGCCCTACCAATGCCAACTGCTCCACTTGTGCTGTTGGGGTGGGACTTGGGACACTGATTACAGGACAGAGGTTTGCACACAAGATCTGCCCATACTGCAGCCAGCCTGGCTGCAACTCCCTCTGAGGTCACGACTGTCACAAAAAAAACCCTCCAAACACCTTCACCGAATGATAATTTCTTCTCTACCAGACAAGGGTTACATTTCTGATAAAAGCTTTGTGGAAGCATCTACTGTGAAGCCACAACCACATCGCACCCTCCTCACCAAGATGCTTGAAGCAGTGTGGTGCTCAGGATGTTCACAAGTGATGCTCTGGAGAGGATGTGCTATGGGGTATGGCATCTCCCTGAGTTGCCCTTTTTTCCCCCCTCCTGCTCATCCCTTCTACAGCACCAGCCAGGTCAAGCCGTTGGCTACCTGCCCACCCCTCTCAAGGCAGAGAAACGAACTCCAAGCAAGGTGTGCGTTCTGCTGAAGTGAATCGGGCAGGACTGGGCACCGCTCTGTGCCCCATCTGGCCTCCTGGGGGTGCTCGCACTTCTTCTCTCCCCGGCTAGAACGAAATTTCCTGCGTGCACGGCTCAGGCGGGCGCGGCGGGGCTGCGCTGCGCTGCTCCGGGGCTGTGTGGCGATGGAGGACCCCCGAGGAGCGCCGCTGAAGCTGCTGCTGGGGCTGCTCTCCTTCCTCGCCTCCCACGGTAAGCCACGCTCCTTCTCCTCTTCTCCAGCACTGCGGGCTGCCCTACCGGGGGTGAGGGACTGGGGGGTTCTTAACTTCCTCGGGGTTTTGGGGCAGAGGGGATAAGCATTGCCTCCAGACGCGGAGTTTCAGGCGATGGGAAAACGGGGCCATGGGGCAGTGGCTGTTGTAAACCTTTGCTCGCCAGCTGTTTGTTTTTCATCCTTCTTCCTTCACTGTGATGGGACGCGTGCAGCATGAAGGCAGCCCCCCGCCGGCACCCCGAGCTCAGCCGGGCCGGGAAGCCCGCTGTCGGCAATGCACGCAGGCAGTGTGTTGGAGCTGCTCTCTGCACAGATGCTCCGCTCTACTGTAATCACTGTGCAGCATTTGTGCATGCATGCAAGGGATGTGCCAAGTGGCTCCGTACTGGGCTCGCCTTCTCCTTCTATCTCAGAACAACACACGTTTCTGCTGGCACATCCCCAGAAAGAAATGGTGCCCAGCTGCAAAGGCTGGCTGCTGCCTGCAGAGGTGTGCTTAAAAACAAGGGAGAAGGCACATTTGTTTTTTGCACCCCAGCCGCAGCTTTCCTGCATCTGGGGTGTGCTATGGGCAATACTGAAAGGACACATCTGGGGCTGGGGAAGGAGCTCCGGCAGGGTTGTGCACGCAGAGGTTTGTCTGCTCTTGGTGCTTCTTTCTGCCCTCTTTATACAACCTTGGATGCTCAGCGTTAGCCCAGTGCCAAAAGAATGGAGCTTCTTGCAACAGCATGCCTGCCAAAACTTTCCACAGCCCAGCTAATGCTAGCTGGGCTGGATTGAGAAGTGGAGCTCTTGGAGACATTCAGCTCCTACACAGTTTTAGGATGGTAGCACCATGGATGATGCCTCGGATCAGCCCCTCTCCTCCATGGGGAAGGCAGAATCCCAATTTCCAAACTCATAACCCAAGCAGAAACCTGGTGCTGTGGCCCCGTCCCCGGTCTGGGGCTGAACTGTGACCTGCAGCAGCTGGGGGCAAGCAAGGAAGCTGGTGGTTTGCCACGTGCCACCACTGCAGTTTTGCTTTGAGTTTTTCTGGGAAAGAAAACAAAAGAGCAAAGCCACACAGGTTTGCATTGGCAGCAGGTCAAAGCAGCTCCCTGTTGCTGTCCCTGGGATGGACACCACATATCAGGGACTGTCCCCCAGCTCCCATGTACTAGAGCCATTTGGCTCCATGGGAGATAAGGGCCAAGAACACTGCTTTTTTTCCTGCATCCTCTTTCTTTCTTTCCTTATTCCTCCTTGCTGCAAAGACTTGTGCCAAGGTAGGTGCAGCCCTGTGCTCAGCCAGCTGAGAGCTCCAAAGCACAATGACAGCATGATGACAACAGCCTCGTGGCATGGCTGCATGAGACTGCTTGGTACAAATGCTCTCACTTAACATTTTGTCATGGGGAAGCACTGAGTTTCCATCCCAGTTGCTCCCAGCATCCCTGGACCACTTTTGCTGGGCATGGACCTCCAAAGCAACCCAATGCCTAGATACTCTCTTTGCCACCAGGGCAAAACACAACTAGGGCACAGGCTCCCAAACCAAGCCAGTGGGGATGAGAGGGACGGCCGCTCTTTTTTTTTGGGAAAACAAAGGCTGTGGCAGACACTTCCTCCAATAGAGCCCCAACTTCCCTTCTCCGGGCTCCTGGGGCCGTGTTGTGAATGGGGCACTTCCCGTGGTGCAGGTAGCATGGCCTCCTTGGAGGTGCCTTTGTGCCGGTGGCAGGCTGTGGGGCTCGCTGTGGGGCACATGGCTTAAGTGGGGTAGGAGCAGCACATGGAGCATTTTCACTTTCGCTCTCAGCACGGTGATGGTAGAAGCCCTGCATTGCGGAAGGTGCTCAGTTGGGATGGAGGTGATGGGAGCTCTGTCTCAGCTGGAGGGTGACCTGTGGGACACCCGGCACACCCGCGGCTTCTTGCAGCCTGCTCAATATAGCAAGTGAAAAAACCTCGAAGCAAAACGGCACAGAGTGATGGAACAACAGGATGTTATTGAGATGCAAGAGCATGCTGTCCTAATGCCCTCTTCTCTAAACATCCCTGAGAACCTCAAAAAAAAAAAACCAAAACCCAAGGTGCAATTCTCCAGCCCCTCACGTGCCCCTGGCTGAGCAGGGGAGGAATTTCTGTGAGCAGTTTTGGTTTCAGGCTCCTTGCAGCAGCCAGTTCCCCTTCTGCTCTGCAGCACTGAAAAACAAGCAGGGTGGGACCCTCTCCCTGCCTCTTCTCAGGGGCATGGCCTCCTCCTATGTCTTTTCTCTCTCTCTCTTCTTTTTTTTTTTTTGTTTTCTTCTCCTTTTTTTTTCTCCTACTATTTTCTTTTTTCTTTTCCCCCTATTAACCAGCTGTCGACACAAGCTATGGGGAAACAGGAGCAGCAGAGTGCGATGCAACCAGGCCAAGATGCTCGTATTTCCTCATTTGCCAGCCATTTCCCCTCCCCCGCTTCCCCTCCGGCTCCCTTTGCACCCTTTGCAGGGCTCCACTGCCCCTTAGCCCAGACCTCCACCTGCTGCCCCACAGTGTGCTCCCCACCTGAGCTGTGCCCCACAACCTTCAGGCCACCTGCTGCTGTTAGAGGATGCTCAGTGCTTACTTTCAAGTATGCTTGGAGCTACAGAAGAAGGGCAGGTTCTGTTTCCCATCTCCCCCCTTTTTAGGATATTCAGCATCTTCCCAAGCCTCAAATTTCGTATCACAGGAGAGAAGGACCCCTGGCCATCACCATGCCATAGCAGATGCCCACACTCGGGTCCCTGTGGGTGATGCCCCTTGCATCCTCACGGTGACCCTGTTCTCCTGCTGGCAGGAGGGACAGCAGCATTCCTGGTGACAGCCCCATACACGCTCTGCATCTGCCCTGAGGGCCAGAACGTCACCCTGAGCTGCCAAGTGAGTGGACCACTCACAGACCACCACGACCTGATCTTCAAAACCTGGTACTTCAGCAACAACGGTGACCAGAGCTGCTCTGAGAAGCGACACATTCGCAACCTGACTGAGAAGGAGCTGCGCCACGATTCCGGCCGGCACCACGGCACCTCTGCCAACAGCACTGCGAGGTTCCCCCATGGATCACCAGGTGGTCACCGTGGTGTGGAGTTCGTCCCTGACCATCATGGGGCTTTCCACATTGTGGTGATGAACCTGACAATGCAGGACAGCGGGAATTACTGCTGCTATGCCATGGAGACACGGCGGGAGCATGGGAAGGTCCATACCCTGCATGTGGCTCACGGCTTCGTAGAGCTCCAGATCCAGAGGGGTGAGCAGGGATGCAGAGGCATGGGATGCCCCAGGTGGCGTGCACTGGGGTATGGGGGCTGGACAGCAGCAGATGTCAAAGGGTTGAAGGAGGGATGGGGAGCATAGAAACAACCCAATTGGAAAAAAAAAGGAAAAATACATCAGCGGAAGCAGGAAGACACAATTAGAAGTGTGTTACATAGTTTCAGTGATCTTCTTTGACCTTTTGCAGGAGAAAAGGAAAACAAATCCTAGTACAAGAGGCTGCGGGGCCAGGCAAAGGAGCCGCTGGCGCTGTTCTGGCTCTGGTCTGGCTTTCGGGAAGGGCTGGCTCCTGGCGTGGGGATGGATCCCATGATGCCACTGCTTTGAAGGAGTGGTGATGCAGTGGCACAGGCTGCCCAGGGAGGTGGTGGAGTGACTGTCCTGGAGGTGTTGCAGAGCCATGAAGATATGGCACTGAGGGATGTGGATGATGGACAGGTGGGGGTGGGCTGAATGAGCTGAGAAGGCTTTTCCAACCTGAATGATTCCGTGATTCCATTTATCTGATTTTCTCAAGCTCATTGGGCAAAGGGAAGCTGGTAGATGCTACTTGAAGTAGCTCCTGAGGTCTTATGTAGTTTGGTCTTCTCCTTCGTAGGCAGAGGAGCACTTCAGAACTGCACCTTTCACACTGCTACCAGCAAAGGTAAATGAAGAAAGAGAACACCTCTTCCCTATGTAGTGCATGCTCTCCCAGCTCACATGCTGACTGAGGGCTGGGTGCTCGCTCCAGGCATGCAGCAACCCAGGTACACCCATCCTGCAGCCCTCAGAGCTGGTGCAGCTGTGCAGTCACTCTGTCTGCCCCTCTTGCTGGTTGATAAATCCATTTTGCTAAAACTGGTGTGAGATCCAACCCTTACTCTGGTGCTCTGCTATTGCAGATATCACAGCCGCTGCGCTGGCAACGGGCGCCTGCATCGTGGGCATCCTCTGCCTGCCCCTCATCTTGCTCTTGATTTACAAGCAGCGGCAAGCAGTCAGCCACAGACGTACGTACATCTGGGTGCTCCCCATCCAGGGACCAGGGGGACCCATTCTGGGACACCATGGGGCATGTAGTTTTGCTCACTAAGCCACTGGGCAGTGAAAGGGCTCCAATGGAAGCCCTTGGAGAAGTGGCTTTTGCAGCAGCAGTGAAGCAATGCCAGCATGAGGACAGGAACCATGCTTTCAACATTCATCCTCAGCCATGATGAAACGAGCACAGCCAACCCACAATATTGCAAAATACACACCCACAGAAGGGTGTGCAGGGGGGAGGCAAAGTCCCAGAGCTTGATGCTAGGGGTGGGGGGGGGGGGGGGTTGCTGGAACACATGGGCAGGGGGCTGCCACAGGATGGGTATGATGCTGGGTGCAGGCAGGTGATGCTGATGCTGTTTTGCCTTTGGCAGGTGCTCACGAGCTGGTCCGAATGGAGAGGTAAGCATGTGCTTTCCCATATTCCCAGCACCCCAAAAACCACCCTGTCCTGCTCAGCCTCCCATTGGGGTGCAGCTGAGGTCAAACCCACTCTGTCACTTCCTGTGCCCTGAGCCACCAGTGTGAAACAGGACCCTGAAATACAAATGCAGATCACCTGTGGCAGAATGCTGCCAAAGCAGTGTAACCTCAGCTCCCTCCCAGATTTACAAAAAGGACATCTTTCAGAGAAGGGAATAGATGAGAATGAAACTTTTCAGCAAAAGTAGGATCTTCGTGGCTCCATCATCCCACACAGCCAGGTGCTTCCACAAAGAACCACAGCCCCCTAGCCAGAGCATCAGAGCTGGCTGTCAGCCCTAAGGCAGGGCTGGAGGGATTTTAGTCATGCAATGCTCGCACAGGGAGCCATCAGCTGCACCCTGCCAAGCCTTGCAGGAGGGCAATAAAATGAGTGTCTGTATCCTCTGGCCCCTCTCCGCACAACTGTGCCTCTGTGCTCCGCGCCCTCCCAGCACAGAGCATCCTCAGTTCAAAGAGATGCACGTTGTCAGTGCAGAAAGCAACGTGCTGGAAGGCTTTGCAATAAGGAGACCCTGTAGCATCCCTCACTCCCTCTCTTCTCCTGCAGCAGTGCCCAGGGCATTGAGAATCCTGTCTTTGAGGCGCTCCCTGTGAGCAGTGCTGAGCAGCGGCCCCGACCCCAGCTCTCCTACCTGGGTGGACGGCAGCTCTCTGAGTCCGGCCGGCACCTGCTGTCCGAGCCCAGCACCCCGCTGTCCCCACCAGGCCCTGGGGAGTGCTTCTTTCCCACTCTGGGTGAGTATCCTCGCATCTACTCTGTTTGCGGCTGCTGTGGGAACGCATGGATGACTGCCCTGCTGAATGCTTGGTGCACTAACACCTGCTGCCTGCCCCCTTTTCCAGACCCTGTTCCTGATTCACCAAATTCCTTAAAAGCCTGAAGAGCCCCATGGCCAATGCAACGGAGGAGGGCACTGTGTTGTGGTTGTGCAGGAGGGGATGCGGCCAGAGCGGGCAGCAACTCCCACCCAACCACCCCCAGCAGGAAAATTAAAAATAAATAGAATAAAGACCTCCACACCTTCCTCCCCCAGTGCCTGGACAACAGCTGCTGGTTTTCCCTCACATTACAAGGAGGAACACTGCAGAGAGGACAATGGAAAGAGCCTGATCTTGGTTGTCATTATGCACCAGACAATAGAAAAGGGGAAGATGCCAATACAACCAAACAACAGCAAAGTGCCTTAAAAAAATCAAGTCAAGCAGAGGAGTCTTGCCCGTTTCTCCTGTCCCAGTGATTTCTCTTGCTCAGGCTTTGGGTTTTACTGCCTATTTTCGTGGCAAAGAGCACAGAGAGGGACGACTGTGCGCAGCCTGTATGAGGATGTATGCTATTGACATTTCATTGTGGATCTCACCTTGTGCCTAAATCCCAGAGGATGGAAGGAAGAGCAGCTCTGGGCCCCAGGAGTTGCATCTCCAGCTCCTCCTGCCTGCTTCCCCCAGTACTTAACTTATTGTCAGGGGCTCCACCTGCGTGGTGCTCACCCATCCTGCTCGCTTGGACAGCATATCCTTTCCAGGAGCATATGGTAAAGTAGTCGAAGCACCGCGAGACAAAACAGAGGCACTGGCCAACTTTACACGAAGGGTTTCTTTGCAAAACAGGAAGGGGAGAGGCTCACTCCTGCCGCAGCCCTCCTGCCCCACTGCTTGCTGGCACAGCCTGCAGCCAGAGGGCTGCTTGTGCTGTGATTCTGTACTCAGCTTGAGAGCAGTAGGACTCATCTTTCTGTTTGTGCCATTATCAGTGCTGATTAAAATGTAAAAAAAAGGATTTTTTTTTTTTTTAAGCTAGGGAGTTAGATAGGTTGTCTGCAGAGTGCTGGTGGATTTTCTGGCTCTGCATGCAGCTGCACTGGTATCACCTTCACTGCAAAACTGAGCAGTCCTAGGGCACTAAAACAGCTGGAGCCATGCAAGAAAAACCTGTTTATGCACAGCATTCGTAATGCAGAAGGCTGTCCAGCCTCAGTGGCACAAAGCCATCAAGAAAAGGCTGTGCCTTTATGAGGAGGAAGGTTTAACCCATAGTCCGGCTTAAGAAAAAGACACAAAGAGGCATGCAAGCCACTGGGCGGGTAGAAGTGTGAGGATTTGCAAGCTGTAACCTGTGCTGCTGCTTGCAGCAAGTTTCCTCCAAATGTAGAGCAGGGCTTTGCAGCCGGCATGCTGCCAGAAGATGCGTGAGATGGGGAGAGATAAGGGCGAGGTGGAGGCGAGGCGAGATGGCAGCGAGGTCATGCTGTGCTGGGAGCAACGTACACTTGCATATGGGTGTTCGCTCATGCATCATGCTGGGTTCAGCATCCTGAGACAATTCTCTGTTTTGGTGTGAGCCGGTGGGCAGGACAACCCCTGCTTGCCCATGGGGATGCTTGGAGTTTTCAGCTGAGATATGAAAGAGCTCAGAACTTCTGCTTAAACCACTTCAGAGCAGAGTTGGGGGTATGAAACACAGCGCATGAGACACAATCGAGGGCATGTGCTGAAAGCAGTGATGAGGCGGCACCTTTGAAAACACCTCAAAGCAACCAGAAAGGGTCCAAGGCATCACATGTGCCAAGGATGGACTCCAAAGCACAACCTGAAGCAACACGCTAACGTATGGCCAAACCGTCAAAGCATCACCACAGAACTTCGCATCCACCCCCTCCTGTATCCATCCCCATGCAGCATCCCGGTGCTCAGCCCCCAAACCCGCACCCCAGCGGCTCACCGACAGTGAGGGGTTGCCCTCGTCCTCCACAGTGACCAGCAGGCAGTAGGAGCTCTGCCGCTCACGGTCTGGTGGGGAGGGCCGTGTAGCGATCTCGCCGGTGACTCGGTCCATGCGGAAGGTGAGATCCTCGTTCCCGCGGGTGATGTAGTAGGACAGGACGCTGTTGAGGCCGGCATCCCGGTCGGTGGCGCGCACCTGGACCACTGCCGTGCCCCCACCGACGTTCTGCAGGTGTACACACAAAGAGGCACGATATGACATAGAAAAGACATCATTCATGATATTGGTAACATCATTCTAATATAAAGTGGGATTTCCCAGGCAGTGTGCTGCTCTAGGCTCCAAACTTCATCCCGGCACCCAGCAAAGCAGAGGCTGTACACCTCGGCCAGCGTGTTGGGATGAAGCCCTTGAGTTTCCTGCTGCAGACAGCCATGCATTTGGCACTATCTGGGCTCTTTAAGTGTAAATCCTGAAGGTGGAGGCTGTGTAATGCACTCAGAGCTCAGCTAATTATTTCTAGATGGACCCATTACAGGGGAAATCAAAAGAGAAATTCTGTTCTTCGACCAGCTTCAACCATGCATTACAGAGATAAGGAAATCCTAACAGGGCAATAATGTTAATGCGAAACTATTCATCACGAGCAGCACTCCCACGCATCCGAGTGTCACTGACTATCACTTATATTTCATTTTTCACCCTCAAATGGAGAACCCATGGCCCAGGAATTAAATCTGCAGGAAATAAGTTGTCTTTTTTTCATGCCTGGTTGTGTTTTATTGCTTAATTATCCAGCTCCCTCAGAGCCGCCTCACCTCGGGTGCTCACCTCACTCACGCTCACATTGTAGCCAAAGGGGCTATCGATGACGGGCGGGTTGTCGTTGACGTCAAGGATGGTGACCCGCAGGGTGTGCTCTTTCCTCCGGGGGGGCACGCCACCATCCGAAGCTTGGATCTGTGGTGGTAGGCAATTTTTCTCCAAAATGCCATTTCTAAGCACAAAGGGCAGGGGAGCATGGCAGGGCTCGGCTCACCCGCAGGGTGTAGTGATCGAGCAGCTCCCGGTCCAGCGGCCGAGCCACGAGCACCTCTCCATAGGTGTTGTTAGTGGTGCGGATCTCAAACGCCTGCCCCACATTCCCTGCTGTCAGTGAGAATGTCACCTGGAAGCGGCCAGCAGACAGAGGAAAATCATCAGCAGGTGATGTGACTCGGAGATCCCCTACGGGAGTAAACCCAGCAGCACCTTGGGATGTCTCAGAGCATCTTCAAAGGCGTAGTGTGGTGTGTGTCAGGGGTATTCAGCCACCCCAAAGCAAACTCCCCCGGCCTCACCCACAGCCTTCATGCAATGCTTGGCATGAAGGGGACACAGGGCAGGGGAAGGGGCTGGAGTGGTGCTGGGGGAGGATGCACTGTCTCACCTGCCCATTGCTGCCTGCATCAGGGTCACGAGCCAGGACCACAGCCACCCTCCTGCCCACCGCGCTGTCCTCTGGAACGCTGACGGATGAATCGGAGGTGATGTCGAACTGTGGGCTGTTGTCATTCTCATCCAGGACCGTGATGGTCACCTGTGGGCATGGCAGAAGTGAGACCCCCGGTAAGACCCCCAGAAAGCCCTCAGTCCTTGCACCTCCATCCCCCAAAAGTGCCAGCAAAACATGTGGGGTCTTGTCCCCATGGGGGACATGGGGGAATGCACACAGATACTGCAGGCTACAGGTGTGGGTTCACCCTTGGCAGCAGAGCAGAGGAAACCCAGAGAGATCATGCTTTCGAGCTTGCTGGATTTTTCATCCTGGAGGCGACAAGGGAGTGGGCTACTTTAGCCACCATTAATTGGAGGAAATGCTCTCATCGCCTTTTGCAATTGAAGATCTGCATGAGTGGGAGAGGAAGAGCAGTTCTGTTCCCGGGACTCTATTTATGGCTTCCTTCGGCCACAGGTGTGGCAGGGCTGAATGGAGCTGCTGTGGTTGTTGGTGAATCAGATTCAGGGAGAGCCTGGTGAATTCTGCAGCTGCTCCTCTGCAGATGCCACCTGCAGCTTGGTGCTTGGGACAGGTCCTGCCACCGACAGTGATGGTGGTGTGGCACATATGCTTACCTTCTGTGGGAGGAGAAGCAGAGAAAACAACAAAAAAACAAGTTAGTAGGATATGGAGCACCCCAGCCCACCAGGGCAGGGTCTCCCCTCACCACCTCTTTCCTCCAGCACTGCCTTCAGAGGCAGCAGGTGCCCCAAGATATGGGGTCTTGGAATGCAGAGCATGCCTCCAGCTCTGAAACTCCTGTGGGGCCCACCTGGCCCAAACCAGCACACTTTTATCCCTGCCCACAGAGCCACCCTCTGCGGCAGGGAGATGCAAATCGCCCCACTCAGCTGCCCCTGAAACTGCCAAATATAACGCTGCCCTTCAGCACTGCAAAGTATTTCAAGCTCCCCCAACCAAGTTTTATCTACCTGAGAACCGGTGTATTTTGGTAAGTGATCTGTAAAGTCTACAGGGCTGTGTTTTAATGTCTTTTGTTTTGTTTTCTTTTGTTTTGGTTTATGTGTTACGAGAAGTCTGATCCTGTGACACACAGAAGCTAAAACTCAGCTGTCTGTGCTTATGCAAATGCAGGATTTCCCCCATATCTGGGTTTTCAGAACCTGTTTTTTGGGCTGGAAATGGGTCTGCCAGACCCAGCAGATCTTGCACAAAAAGAGCCAACATGATTACAGCATTATGAAAAACCTGTGTGATAACCTGGCCAAGGGAGGGGAGAGGAGCCACTCACCACTGTGGAGTCGACCTTTGGCCCTCCGTCATCGGCCACCACCGTCAAGGTGTAGAAATCTCCCTTCTCCCGATCCACTTGGCCTTTCACCGTGATCACCCCCTGCCAATGGCCAAGAGTCATGTCCCCCCAGCAGCCCCAAGGCACTGGGGACAGCCCAGCCCAAAGGGCAGCACCGCGCCTGCTTACAGTGATGCCGTTGATTTTGAAGAGAGAGAGTGCCTGGGCGTTGGTGTTGGGATCAAACTTGTAGGTGATCTGGTTGAGGTTGTCGATGGAGCGGGCCTGGACACGGAGCACCTCGGATCCCAGCGGGATGTTCTCCATGATGACAGCCTCATAGCTGCTGTTGGAGAATTGCACAGCCTCATCCAGCTCATTCAGCAGGCTGACGTACACGCTGCAGAAGCCCTGGTTGTTGGGTGGAGCCTGGTCTGTGGCTGAGACATTCATCAGGTAGCTCGTCTTGGTCTCATAGTCCAGGTAGTCGATGGTGGTGATGAGACCTGTGCTCTCATCAATCTCAAACTTCCCTTCGGCACCCGACAGGATTTGGTAGCTGACCAAGCCGCCGTTCCCTGGGGAAGAGCACAACCATGGCACTCAGCATCCCAATGAGGCAGGACACCAAGCCCAGGGCTGCAGCCCAGCCAGACCCTACCTGTGTCCCTGTCCGTGGCCCGCACCACGGCCACTGAGGTGCCAATGCCGGCCGTCTCACGCAGCCCCAGGCGGTTGTACTGCCGCTGGGTGAACACTGGCACCTCGTCGTTCACATCCTCCACGTACACGATCACCTGCAGGCCCCGAGAACATGAGAGAGAACTCAGCCAATGGGAACGGCTGCTGACTGCTGTTTTGATGGCCTGAACCCCCCAAGCTTTCGCAGAGGAATGCAAACGTGGGTCATGAATTGGGAGGAGCACTAAATCCCTGTATTCCTTTCCTCCTGTGGTGGAACCCATCCTCTGCAGTCCCAAGAGGACAGCAGCAGCATGGCAGCAGCTAACAGCACTGAAAACTCGTCTCAGATCACAAATATGTTCCCAAGATGTCTCACTGCTGCTAACGCTTGTCATCTGTTTGCATGTACAAGGATGGCCTTGCATGCATGGAGGACCTGGAGCACATCCAGAGAAGGGCAGTGAAGCTGTGAGAGATCCGAAGCATGTGTCTTATGGGGAACAGCTGAGAGAGCTGGAATGGGTCAGCCTGGAGAAGAGGAGGTGCAAGGGAGACCTCATCCCACTCTAAAGCTCCAGAAAGGAGGTGGTGATGAAGTGGGGGTTGGCTTCTGCTCCCAGGTAACAGTGATAGGATGAGAGGTGACAGCCTCAGGTTGTGCCAGGGGAGGTTCAGGTTGGATATTAGGACACATTTATCCTCCAAAAGAGCACTGATACCTGAGAGGGCTTTTCCAATCTGAATGATTCTAAATGCATTTTCTGGCATTCATCTGCCGCACTGGAGCAGTGTTATGAGGGATCCATCCTTCCCTGGTGACAGGCAGGTACAGCTCAGTCTTAATCCCTCTTTGGGATCCTCAGCCCCAAATCTCACTGCTGGAAACCCTGCAGTGTGGGAGCGCCGATGGCTCCATGTGAACTGTGCAAACCTCACAGCCCACGGGTCAGGCTGTATTTTCCCACCTTCCCCCAGGGACAGCCTTTCTCCTCCTGCTTTCCTATGGGGGCTGTGGGCACATAACACTCTGCTGGAGCCCCCCAACAGATTGGTAGTTCTAAAAATAAAGGCGATCGGACTGGAGGGATGGGGTGGCAGATCAGGGTTCATGGGAAACCCTCCTGAAGGAAGGAAGTTGCTGTATCACTGCTGAAGATGATTACATTAGTCCTCTCTTAATTAAATAGATGCTTGACTGTGTGGTTTTCAGCATGCAGCCTGAGCGCACCCAAATGTCACAGGAAAAAAAGAAAAAACAAAAAACCCAAACCCTCTTCTTCTCCACCCACAGAGACTTTCCGTCAGCGTTTCCAGGTCTCTTGGGCTTCCTGCACGCCTGCCTCTGCTCAGCGAGGGCTGGAAATTACAGCTGTCTGATGCAGCATCCCTACAAGCTGCCTTATGCCGGGCACGTACCCGCACGGAACTCCTCATGGGGCCGTGCTCTGTGTTGTAGGCTTCCACCTCCAGGACGTGAGAGGAGTTCTGTTCACGGTCCAGGGGCCGCACGCCACGCATCAGCAGCCCGCTGCTGGGGTTGATCCGAAAGTTGTTGTGCTCATTCCCTGGGGGTGAGGAAGGCAGAGTGGTCATGCAGGTGTTGCTGGCCTCCAGAGTGGAGTGCCCATGTGAACCTGGCCTTACCCTTAACGATCCTGTACCACACTCTCCCATTCACGCCCTCGTCTGCATCTGTAGCTTTCACCTTCATGAGGAAAGAAAAGCAGAGGTGAAGCTTGCAGATCCTTCCACCCTGCCCAGCTGTCATCTGCGAGGCGAAGCAGGTTACCCTGCCCTCATCATCTCTGCATTACAAGCTGAGAGTCCAAATAGGAGTTTGCTTCTTCCTGAGTGCACTGGGTGGCCTATCCAGCTGAGCAGCTCTGGGCTACTATGCACTGTGCAAGTGACATGGAGCTCCTGGGAAACCTAGCACAACGGTCCCCTCTGGTGTCCCCATGCGACAGTGCAGCTCTCTGCCCAAGGATATGCTTCCCCATAGGGATCCGAGCCACCCCCAGGTGAGTGAAAAAATCCCTGAAGAAATTACCCTAATGAACCTCAAGTCACTAAGTCAAAGTGTGCTTAGCAAAAGTGTGTGCTTAGCAAATGCCAGAATGAGGGCAGCTTTGGTCACCCTGCTACAGCAAGGACCTCCTCCTAGGGACAGTTGGGTCCATCAGGGTACCCGGGGTCACGGGTACCACCATGGCCCCAGATGCGTGAGCCTAGGGTGCAGCTCTCAACTTCTGGGCCACACAGCTCTCGTGCCATTTGCTGGCCGTGGTTTCGTCCTGCGTCACACAGCCAGTGAGTGATGCTTCTCTGCTCTGACGCAGTATCTTGCTTTCCACCCTGCTCACCTCCACCTCATAGTTTCCGATCAGCAATTAAAAACATTTAGCTAGTGCCTTTGGAAACCTTTTTTTTTTGCACATTTGACCTGGCTGCTGCCTACCCAAGCCTTCCTACCCTGGGATGGGGACGACACAAGCAGACCCACAGCTTGTTCAGAACCAACTCAGAGGGCGGTGAGTGCACTGGCACCTACTGGCTGTGGGTGCTCCATCCCTGGAGGTGCCCAAGATGATGGATGGAGCCCTGATCTGGTGGGGGCAACCAATCCATGGCAGGAATTGGGGCCAGATGGGCTTTGAGGTCCCTTCCAATTCAATCCTGGAAATCCCTGCCCTCAGTTCCTTCTGGGAGACAGCCATCCAAGGGGCCTCACAAGCACAAGTGCTTTTCTCATCTTATGAATAAGCGGAGTGAATTTCTTACTTAAGTCCCATGAGGCTCCCTGTCCTTGCTTTTTTCTCCCTGACACTCTCACCATGCATTCACAGGGAACAGACTGGTGTTGAGAAGTCACGTGCCTGCACGATGCTGCTGGCAGCTGGGATGTCCTCAGGTACACTAGCTTCATAGCTGCTCTGAAGGAAGATGGGCCGGTTATCATTGACATCCAGGACAGTGACATAAACAGTGGCGGTCCCAGTGCGGCGGTTCCCGGTGGGGCCGTTGTCTGTGGGGGAGAAAGCAGGGCTGGGGTTTGGTCATCCCTGGCTCTTCACACAGGGGGGTTGGAGGGCTAGAGGTAAGGGGTAAGCATGGGGCAGCATCCCTTCTGCATCAACATGGAACCTGTAGGGCTGTGATCCCAAAATTTCTGAGCAGGCTATTTTTTTTTTCTGCTCAGGAGGGACGTCGAAGCCTTCTGCAGGCAGGTACATCACTTCAAAGCTCTAGGGATGATGGACAAGATGCATTTGGTGCCCTCTGCCTATGCCAGGTGGCTTGGGATGAATTGGCAACCACTGAGCAGAAGCCCAGCAGCATGGAAGCAATGCTGCAGTGCTGGAACAGATTGGGAAAGGAAAGCCCTGGGATGGGACCCGACAAGGGGTGAAGTGGCTGTCCACAAAAGCAGCTGTGGGATGCCCAAATCAAACACAGGCAGCTCAAAGCTTTCACAGAAACAGGGAGGAGCTCTCACCGATGGCCTCCAGGATCAGTGCATACGATGCCACCGTCTCCCTGTCCAGGCTCACGACTGTCCTGACCACCCCATCCCTGAAGCCGACGCTGAATTTGCCATCCTGGTTCCCACCTGCAGCAAAGGACAGGGACCAGAATGTTGTTGTCACCAGTGCAGTTCCACGGGTGAAAATCAACAGAGACCAGATGCAGCCCCTGGATATGTGGTGCTACGGGAGGCTTTGAGATAAATTATGCAGATGCTGCATCTCGTGGGTTTAATGACAGGGTGTATTTAGGGCTAAGGGTTTCTGAATCCCAGCCCAGCGGGAGCCAAGAGGGGAGCTAGAGCAGGGCCGTGCAGCAGAGGGCGATACCACACAAGTTTTGGGATCGGCAGCACTGACGATGAGCACTGGTGAGACTCAATCTTTCTCTCATCATGTTGGCATTGTGTCCCAAAAGCTGTACCTTTCCCAGAAGGTGTACCTGCTCCCTATGCTGATGGCCAGAATGGAAAGCATCCTTGGAAAAGAAACCAGATCCCCCTGCAAGGCAGTCTGGAAAAACATCGTCAGGATGGAAAGCTCCCCAGCTGAGTGAGATGGGGTCAGCAGCTGTACCTGTGATGAAGTAGCTGAGCTCAGCATTCAGTCCCACGTCAGCATCTGTGCAGTTGAGTCGGACCACTTTGAAGTCCCGGGCCACATTCTCAGGCAATGACACGTTGTAGATGGCTGGGAAGAAGGTGGGGCTCTCATCGTTCACATCCAGCACTGCAAGAGGGAATGGAGATGAGTGCCCCCAGGGCTGCCCTCCTTCTGCTGCCCATCTCCCCAGAATACCCCTGGCTGTTCTGAGGACCCTGTGGAATCCCTTGCTGCCAATGGAAATTTAGACATCTGGGGACTGGAGAGGACCTGATGTGCCCACCTTTAACAGTGAGGGTGCTGGTGGAGCTCTTGGAGGGCGTGCCAGCATCGCTGACCACCACACGCAGATAGTACTCAGCGATCCTCTCCCGGTCCAGCACGGTAGTGGAGATGATGAGCCCGCTGGTGCTGTTGATGAGGAAGTCCATACGGGGCATCCCCACCTGCATGCGATACGTCACCCACCCGTTGGGGCCCTCATCCAGGTCAATGGCCAGCACCTGATGTGGATAGGATGGAGGGAGGGGTAAGCACAGTGACTCCAATCATCTCCTGAGTGACAAAACCCCAAGCTCTGTTCCCAGAAACCTCAGGTTGAAACAACAGAGCTTCAAGTTATTCTCCTTGCGGGTACCATGCTGTATGAAGACAACACAGGTTCCCATGGACATCTCCATTCATAGTGGAAATGATGACATTCTCCAGCAGTGGTGGGATGAGCTCACCTGGAAAACAGAGGTGCCAGCAGGAAGACCCTCAGATATCTCAGCAACGAAGGGCAAGTTTTGGAAAGTGGGATCATTGTCATTCAGATCCAGCAGGTTGACAAACACTGTGGCACTGCTCGTGGCTCGCAGGGGTGGCCGCCCACCTGCAGGAATAGGATGGGGGCCAAGGTTAATGCCTACAGCCCCTTGGGAGAATGCATTGTCCCCAAGCAGAGAAAACTCTCCCTGGAAGCATGCAGGGTCTGGCCGTGCACGTGGCTGACGACAGTAGCAGCATACATCTGTCCTTATACCTTTCCTTATGCCAGCTTGGATGGGATGTTACAGCACAAACTCAGGAAGGGGCAGAATTAAGGCTAAATGTGCTTCCAGGACACCAGCTGGACAGTGGGGAATTTATCCTAATTAACCTTTTTTCTTTTCCTGAAAATGACTCTGTAAAATACTGTTCTCAGAAAATTTTAAAAAAAACAACACCCCAAAACATAATCACGCGACCAGCTCTATCTCCCTTACCTGCTCAGCTGGCTTCCCTAGCTACTGATGGTGGCCTACAGCCATGACATCTTGCCAGCCCTACAAGCTCCACAGCCTCAGCTTTAAAAGCGTCCCTAAACTACAATAGACCTATGAAGCCTAAGCATACATTGCATACAGGCAGCAGTGTTGCTGTCCTCTTCCAGCCTCTGGAAGAGGAAGCTCATGCCCACCCCTTTCTGTGCGTGCCCAGTAAGGTGGTGGCCCCAGCTCTGCAGCATGCCTCAGGCTCAAGTGCCAGGTCTCAAAGACCAGCTGGCTCCACTCCCTGAATCAAACACTGATATCCTCCCATGACTCCAGCTTACAGTCGGTGACCGACACCACAATCCTCCGCATCAGCTCAGCCTCCTGTGGGTTGGGGTTCTCACGGTCCAGCTGGACGCCGGAGGTGCGGATCTTGCCAGAGGTGCTGTTGAGGCTGTAGAACTTGTTGGGGGGGCGGATGCTGTACACCACCGTGCCGTTCTCCCCCAGGTCTGGATCTACAGCCACCACCTGAAATGGAAACAAATGGAGCTGAGAGACGGGAGTAAAAACAAGAGTATCCCAGGTGGAGATTCACTGCTGTCTGTTATAGTGGCTGAGCCTCCACTGGTAGTGTTCTCCTTTCCTGGACATTTAGTGCTTCCTGTAATGTTTTTAATTACAGGGGGCATTTACATATACTCAAAGCCCAGAACAACTTCACTTGTATCTTCCCTGGCTCTTTCTGTTCCAGCTGAATTTCCATCCTATGGGTTGCACAGCAATTACTTTCCCAGCAACTAATTTGGATGGTGATGCAAGAGGACTTCTCAGCTTCTACAGAAGCTACCTGCCACTCTCTGGAGGAGAAGTGTGGGAGAAGCACGGTGGAACCCACACAGGTCCTCCAAAGTGGGGCTGGGGGCTGTGAGTCACCGCTGCAAACCTTGCCACCTCCTGCTCTCCTGCTGAACCTTTCTTCCTTTTTGCGCCAGCTTTCTCTTGCAGCCTTCCCTGTTAAACAGTTTTGTGGATTCTCCTCACTTTCCTCTCATTTATTTTCTGTTTCGTGCCCGTCATTTTTCTCCCAGTGTGATGGAGTGCAAGCCTCTTACTCTCCTTCTCTTTTATTTCACCAGCGGGATTTGAAAGGCTGTAAATCAATGTCTTTCAGAGAGGTCCTTGAAGGAGGTTGCAAGCGAGGCTAAGAAAAGGAGAACTTGGCCAAAACCCACACAATTGCTAAAACAATAAAGAATCCCAGTGGAGAGGAGGAACGCATGGGATGGGCAGCAAGGAGGAACCTTTTGAACCAACTTCTGTAAGGCTTACTGCAGGCATAAGGGAGGAAGGCTGGGCAGGTAGGAGGAGGCTGCCTGAAGCTGCCTCTCTGCACATGTACCGTGGTGACGTCTGAATTCGGGGGGGTCATTTCCACCAGGTTGATAAAGTAGGGCGCATCCTTCCAGGTGGGGTAGTTGTCATTGATGTCCAGCAGCGTGATGTTCACCTGCAGGAGAAAACAGGCTCAGCTGCTGGCAGGTCCATGTGAGGACCTGGGTGGATTTTTTTTGTTCTAATTGCAATGTGTTGCAGAAATCCTTTTTTTTTTTTTGGCCTTTCAGTGAAGCTACTGACAGAACATCCTCTCATCTACAGCTCCAAATAGGAGCCCACCACCCCGCAAGCTGTGCATTTGCCTAGCCAGGGCTGCAAACTCTAGTTACAGCCTTTCTGGATCCCACACCTTCCAATGAACCTCAGTACCAATGACAGTTATTCTGGGGAGCTCTTTGGCACTACCACAGTTCTTTGCTGTTGCATGGGACATCTCTTCTGCAACCCAACAAAGCATCCCAGGAGAGAGAGGACCCAAAGGCATTAAACCTTCCAACCAACATTAGGCCACAGGAGATGAATCCTTGGCTTCTGGCCTCATATTTCCAAAGACTTCCATGAAAAGGTTTCAAATGATGGTAGGCCAGTGAGGGGCGAGGCAAAGCCATTGCCAGGAGGATTCAATTTGCCTGCATCTCTGCTAGTACCTTCCAAGGAGCCCAAGAATCAAAAAGCAGTTGGAAATCCTTGATGCAGGCAGTGTGTGAATAGCAGTCATCAGGAACAGCTAAGTGCTCCTGCAAGCTCTCTGACCAAGTGTTTTCTTGAGAAGCACTAATAAAGGGAGCCATGCTGTGGGAGGAATGGGTACCTGCAGCTGTGCCCGTGCCAAGGGATGGACACACAAAGCACAGGAAGGTCAAGTGGCTCTGTGACAAATGGCTTGCTAGGAAAGGGAGCCTGATTTCAAGGTCCTCCCACTCTGAAGAGTCATTCTGCAGCGGGAAGCAGCCCGGAGTGATGGGCAGACACTACAGTGTGCTCCATGTGCCCTCCAAGCAAGGGGCCCTGGGGCCATGCTCACCATGGCAATGCCTGTCTTCTGATGGTGACCCACACCCCCATCCACTGCTCTAACAATGAGGATATATTCAGATTTGGCCTCCCGGTCCAGCAAGGATGTCGTCGTGATCTCTCCTGCAGACAAAAAGGATGAGAGAGATGAGGGAGGACATACGGTGAGTTACCACCTGTAGCTTGGGGAACTGGTGAAAACAGAGTTACTTCAAATGGAGACTGATTCAGCTTCACACAGATGGCGAGGGTTTCCTGGAAGGGGTCTACAGCCAGAAATGTAAGAAATAACCATGCTCTCCTACCCTTCTGGAGGCTGTAAGCTGCTTTGTTCCCCTGAACCAGCAAACTGCCTGTTTCTCACTCAGGGCCTGAGCTATAAGGTGTGCCTTGCTGTGTATGGAGGTGCTGTTGTGCCATGGGAAGAGCTCTTTCATGGGAAGAGCAAGAACTGGAGAGGAAAAACTAATCTAAGCAAGGAAAATTTGTAAGGCTAAAGGTCTTCTTAAAATATGTCTGACTCCAAACTCTCACGGCACCAACTAATCCCTGTACTGAAAAAATTAATCACAGGAAAAGTGGTTTAAGCGCACAGATGTTGTAATGATGGATGTCTCCTGTCCACAGACTTGCACCCAAAGGACAGCACATCCTCACAGAACAGGTACAGGGAGTTTGGATGTCTCACAGATAGGACTAGCTTCTCCACCACCCCAGGTTACACTATCATCCCTTTCCTCCCTTCCAAGCACCCATGTGCCTCTTTTCTTGCAGGTGCCATATGGAAAAGAGGAGGTTCTCTCTGCAGTATTTGCTGCTTTGTCAGCATTCCTGCCCTTAATGAACCAAAAAGATGTCAGCGAGGAAGGGCAGACAGCATCTCCTGAGCTAAAATAAGCCCTTGCAGTCAAACTGCCAGCCTTTCCTCAAGCATCACAACCTTCTGTTGGGGCCTCTCCCAAAAGTTTCACAGTGACCAACCTTGGGGACTGAAATTTGGTGACTCCCTTACATCGTGTTTTCCATAAGCAGGCTAAGGGGAAGGAGGAAGGAAGAGTGAAAGGGGAAAAACAATAGGGAAGAAAACTGGGGAAAAAAGGGACTAGACTGAATGGAAGAGTTAGTGTGTGGATGAAGGCTCACCCGAGCGAGCGTTGATCCGAAAATGAGAGGAGCCCTCCAGGGAGTAGATGATTGACTCCTGCCCATACTCCCTGGACCGGTCCAAGTCTGTGGCATTGAGGAACAGCACGGTAGCACCTTGCAGGGGCAGAAATGAGGGTTGGAGGAGGCACCTGCCCCACTGCTCATTGGCTCAAGGACTTGGCTCCTCGCCTCCCCAACAAACATTCGTGTACCCCAGGATAGCTGTGGGATTCCCAGGTGACTATGCGACCCCCAGGGCCCTCCAGAAAGGCTAGAGAAGAAGCTGTATTTCATACCTGCCATGATGTCCTCCATGATGGCTATCACGTAGGAAGGCTTGCTGAAGGTCGGTGGGTTGTCATTCTCATCCTACAGCAAAAAGAAAGGCAAGAGGCTGGCTGGGACAAAGGCACTGTGGGTGAAGAGGTACAGTGCAGATACAGGCGCTTGTATCACACGGCCAACTCAAGGCAACAGTGTAAGGAAGGTGGGATTAGGGCTAAGGGTAGAGGGGGTCTAAACACCAAATCTAATAGCCCATAAAGGGAATGGTGGAGCAACCAGGACATTAAAGCACTGTGTGGATTTCGTCACTTTCCTGGGGCTGTTCCAGAGACATTTTCTTCATGGAGGCTGCTGATGGGCCAGTAGGCTCAGCTGCTCCTGCTGCCACCAAACTGGATATTCAAGGCAATTTCACGTGCCAGTGACGCCTATTGCACCGTAATTGAATTGCCATCCTCTGCTCCCATTTCGGGAAGCAAGTGGTCTGTAATCAGCTGGAGCATCACTCAGCATTCCCTGTGCCTTCTCCGAGGGCAATGTGGAAACTGCATCCACCCTCGTGGAGCATGGGGTGACTGTCACAGGGCAAAGCCAGTGGTGGGGGAGAAATGCCCAACCAGACCCCATGCACTCCATCATCAGCTTTACAGATTTCTGCAGAAATCCCCCATCCTTTGCACGCTTCCTGTTTCCGGCTCATCGCCCCAGTGAGGACAGCAGTGGCAGTGAGCGCAGCGGCAGCTTATTAGCAGTGATATTTCCCTGGATCTCGGCGCCGCGCACTATTAGTTCTGACTCGGCAGCTCCCTCTACAAAGCGTATTGTCCCCTTATGGGAGATCTACAAGGCGAGTTTGACTTCTTTATTAAAAACCAACAAGCAGAGGAGGAAAAAAAATTGCCTCCCTCCCCACTAGCTCTTGTTCTGCCTTTTCATGTCTCTTTTTTCCCGAAGTGCTGTTGTCAAACACCTCCTTCTCGTTTTCTTTCTATTGTAAAAGGCAGGTGTGTTCACACTGCTCAGTGGGGGCTGAGGTGATGCCCCAGCTCCACCTGCCATCTGTCCCCATCATCAGGTTCGCATTGTACTTACAAACACCTCGATGGTGACGGGGACAGTGCTGTTGAGTGGTGGGTTACCAGCGTCCTTGGCCATCACGGTCAGGTAGATGACCCCATTGGCTATCTGCTCATAGTCGAGGGGGTGATTCACACTTATCACTGAAAGGATGTAAGGTGGGAGGCTCAGCACAAAGTGGGGGACATCCTGTTGTCACCACCCAACCTGCTGTCCTCTTGTCATTTCTCTCAACAGCAGCGCTTACCTCCATATCCTTCTGATACCGTGATGTCAAAGTACTCGCGGAAGGCAGATGCCTGCACGATGCTGTAGGTGATCTGGTTGTTTGGAGGGGAGTCCTCATCAGATGCCTACATAGACAGAAGAGAAAGGTGAGCACAGATGCTGCACTGGCCATGCAGGGAGTGGTGCTGAATGGGGACTTGGCCCTGGCTGTCCCTCACCCGGAGCCGGACCACCTGGGTGACAGAGGGCTCGTTCTCTCGCAGTGCCCCCAGGTATGCCTCCTTCTGGAAGGTGGGCACGTTGTCATTGACATCCAGGACGTTGATCCTGATGCGCCCTGCTGTCTCCTCGCCGCCACCATCCCGTGCAATGACAGTCAGCGTGTAGCGCTGCATGGTCTCAAAGTCCAGTCGGGCTATCAGCAGGATCACACCCGTGTCCTTGTCCAGTGAAAAACTGGGGAGGGACAGGAAAGAGGTGAAAACCTCGGTGACCACATGCTGGAGACAGTGAGATGTTAGTCTCCAAATTTTGGATAAGCACCCTTACCCCAGTGGTTCAACCACACCTACCGATCGGGGTCATCGCTGAAGAAATAACTGACTTTCCCATAGCTGCCCACATCATTGTCAGTTGCCTGAAAAAAAATCAAAAGTTAGTTAACAAATAATGCTACTTCTGGGAATTGCACACACCAGTGAACCCATCACAACTCACAGAAAGCTTAATTTATATTCACACCTCGGGAAGTTTCATGCTTTCCCAGATGACGTGGCTTCAGGGTAGGCTGGTGGCTGCTCAGCCCAGCCCCTGCCCCTTCCAGGAGCACCCACAGAAGGCACTGCCTCCAGCAGCCCTCCAGAGCAGACAGGCAAGCCTCAGCCTCTTCTTCTCCCCCCTTTTACCTGCTCCTTCCCACCTACGCTGTTCACTGCTGTTGAATACCCAATGGATCCAGACTTGGACTGTTGGGGCTTGCCCAATTTCTGGGGGAATTTCTGACCAGCCACCTGCTGCAGATAGCATCCGTCCAGCAAGAGTGCTCAGTGCTATTCCCCAAAACATTATGCCTGCTGCCTTTCACTGCCATGCTGAGCTGACGTGGAAAGAGTGCATGAAGGCAGATGAGATTTTAAAGAAAACAGAGAAGAAAAGAGCTGTCTGCTGCGAGCAGCTCCATTTCCACAGGGGAGAGAAATCCTAATCAGAAAGCCACAAAATAGGCACAGGAGAAGAAGGATGACCTGGGAAGCCCAAATCCTGCAAGGCTTTGCCACTGGAAGGCTTTGCCTCCAGGCGAGGTATGCAAGGCACAGTTTGTGAGCTCCAGAGGAGTGAGACGAGATTTATGTATGTTTTAAAGTCTTTTCTCTAATGAATATATAAAATATGCATGAACGGAGGCAAGAAAAAATGACCAGAAAACTTTGTATTTAGATGAAGGAAGTGGAATAAGAGTCCAAAAC